ACAACAAAAGGGTTGGGGCGCCCCGAGCCGCGGGGAGAGGCCTCGGCGGCCCCGGGCGCAGCACGCTCCGGGCCCCGCCGGCAGGGCGCCCGGACGCCCCTCGCCGCCCCCCCCTTCCGCTCCTCCGGGCTCCCCCGCTGCGGGACAAGGCCCGACGGGACGGGGCCGGGGCCGGGGCCAGCGCCGCTCGCGCTGCCCTCCCGCCGCCCGGGCCGCTCCCCCTCCCCCTCTCGGCCTAGTTCCCGCAGCTCCCGGAGCGGCGGCGGGTGGGGGGCGGGGGGCGGAATCTCCCCTTCCCCCTCACGCCCCCCGCGCCGCCGCGGCCTCCTCCCGCTCTCAGGCCCTGTTGCCGCCGTCCGTCCCCCCCCTCCTCCACCTCGCTTCTCCCCTCCGTTCCCCCTGCGGGCTCCCCCCGCCCAGTACCTGCTAGTTGTCTCCGCAGTAGCAGCGCGGACTGGAGCTCCGTCATTCTCCCCCGCTCTGCCCGCGGAGGCAGTCCCGGTAGCGGCGGTGGCGACGCGGCTGCCGGTGCTGCGAGCGGCCGAAGCGGCGGCGAGTGGCCCTGAGCCGGCCCGCAGCGCGCCCCGCGGGGGTCTGGCTCCGCGCCGGCCGCCGCCACAGCACGCAGGGTCCCTGGCAGGGGCTCCGTGCCGCCTTCGCCGCCCTCCTCCTCCTCACCGCCACCTCCTCCTCCCCCCGCCCGCCAGGAATTTCGCTGCACTCCGCGCCGCGGCGCGCACGCGCACTGGCATCTCCGCGCCGCCATCTTGGGAGGGCGCGCGGGGCCGCGCCGCCGCCATGTTGAGGAGGTCACAGCCATTTATTTATTTATTTATTCCCCGCCCCTCCCTCCCCCCCTTTTCCTCTTTTTTCAGTCTCTGTTTACAGGGAGGGAAAGGGAGTGATGAGGAGGATCTCAGAGGGGATTACCTTCTTCCAAATGGCTGGACCCCAACAGGGCCGAGAGCAAGCAGGGTTCTCCTCAGGAACACCCGCTCACGCCACACAGAAACATGTCCCGAGATGGGGCGAAGGAGTTTGTAATAAACACTCTGTGGTCAGCTTGTTCCTGCTTGGAGAACGCCCTCACATCCCAAACGCGCTAAACTACAGAAGTTTCCTGAGGTGGGGTTTAAAGAGCAGCTCTGTGCAGATTGGGGGCTGCCGGCAGAGAGCGGCCCTCGCTCCTCAGGCCTGACAGTGCTGCACAGGCTGAGGCGGCTTGAGGGGAGAGCCCAGTGCCAGCGCTTGTGTCCCGAGGAAGTGCAGAGGGAAATAACAACGCTCTGTACATAGTCATGCACCAACCAGGGAAAACTGAGTGTGACAAACTAGTGCCTGAGACTAATGTAAAAGGCACAGGCTCCTCTGCGGACTTTCTTGGAGTATTCTGCCAGATTTCCTGATTTTGCATTTTTATTCTCTAAGAAAGGGCATTTCTGGCTGTTTGGATAAACAGTTATTGCCAATAGTGGAAGTTCATTAAACTCCCTGTTGTTATGAAGGGAAATTGCTGCAAAGAGGGTTTGTCCTGTGCCAAAACGCTCACATCTTTTACAAAACCAGCTCTGTTTTTCTACTGAAATCAAAGAACACAGAAGTAGCTTTACAAAGGAAGGGGCAATCACCAGCCTGTAAGAGATACCTTTAGGGGTCAGTGCTGAAAGTGACTTCCCACACTGCGATTCAGGTGTCTCAGAGCTAATGCAGCTAGGCAAAAGACCATCCTCCAATATTTCTGTAATTCCGATTAAGCCTGTGTCTTCTTACACACGATTAGTTTCAGATTAATTTAGGATGACGGTTAATTTAGGATGACATGAGACTTTCTGAAACATGGCAAAACATTTCATCCCTTGGTGTGCGCTGTTGCTACTGAAGCACCTTTCATAAGTGGTGTTCTTGGCCAAAGCAGCCTTTCGATAAAGTCCTCCTTTGAAAATTGACGCTAATTCCCTAGTGTATTTTGTATTTGTATCTTGTCTGGCTTCAGTCAGGTTCATTCAATCTTAAAAAACAACACACGCATCTAAACATAAAAGCCTATCATGGGAAAGTTCATTTTGTGAACTTATTATGCTGAAAGACAGTCACCCAGATTGGTACTCAGGCATGCTGATGAGAAGTGACACTATTGTGGATGGTATTTCTCTTTTAGGAATAAAAGGTAGGCTTTGTTCAGAATGTCAGTCAAGGCAGCACTAAATTCACTCAACTTTCGGTACCTGATGTCAATTCAGGCATGAGCACGCATTTCTGACAGTTCTATTAATAGAGGACCTACCTACAGCTTCGAAGACTGAAAGGTTATATGAAACAACTCTATTTCCATTACAGCACAATTCAAATCTCCCCAAGCTTCACCGTTAGGTCTCTCATTGGCAGTCATCTCACTTAAGAAAGGAGTTCTTCTATGGATAGACTGTGATACTGCATATGAGGAACACGGGATATTTTGGGTTGGGGAAAGAAAGGGTCTAGCTTAAGCCGGCAGGGATGACCTGGATTCCTTTGTTCTGACAGAAGAGCCCGATTCAATGCTAGTTTATAAAGATAATGAGCATTTCACTGTAAGAGGCTCTGGCATCCTAAAACACCTTGCTCTGTCAAGGCACCTTGTGTGCAGTTACCAAGTACAGAAAGCACTGCTGGTAGTCAGGGCAGGCTTGGGATTGAGATATGAACTATTTTATGGTTTCCATACAGCAATAAGGTCTCCATGGAATCCCAGCATGAAAACATGGCTTTCCTGCCACAGCAGCGTGGGAATTCTATCCGCTGGCTTCCAGTTCACGTTGCATGTCCTTGATCAGAATAGGCTATCTGCAAAGAGATAAACGGCCTTCCCGGGCTAGATGAAGTGATCCTCTTGTGTTTTCTTAAAATTGACTTTCTGTCCTCCCTACCTTATCCCTACTGCTTGCCAAGTCAACATCCTAGCAGTAGATTTTTAGGAAAAGATCTTATGAAAAGAGAGAGTGCTTGGTTACATTCATTTTATTCTCTCTGGCATGCTGCCTCCCTGCAGTTTTTTTTTTCTGCTATCTCTGCATTTAATGGATGAGCAATAAGAATTCAGATTATTTTTCCTTTTCTGAGACCATTTCTTGCATGATGACTGTTCAGAGTTTACAGCCATTTGCCACGGTCTGTACTCCATCCCTTATCACGGAAGTATTATCATAAAATTTAATTTTGTGAGTAGAATATCCTGGACTTTTTTTTCTGCTGCCCAAAAAAAAAAAAGATAAATTTTCCACCTTCAGCATCTCAATTTGCTTGAATGTGGTGTTTTTGACTTATTTTTTTTTCTCTCAGTTCAACACAAATAACGTATCACACTAGTAGATAGTTTCAGTTCAGTAGAGAGTCTTCTGGCTGCATTCACCCTGTTAGCAACATCTGCTCCCTTACTTGAGTTTCTTGGCAAAAACAAGAAGCTGACGGTAACACAGACGTAGCTTCCTATAACATGTACTGTCGTGTTCATCCAGTTTTACATGCTGGAATCAGTGGAGAGATTTTTAAAATAGCAGCAATGTGAGGTATTGGTTTTAGGCTTAAATAACATTTGACGGTTTGCAGTGATGGGTTTCTTGCCCTTTATGTGCATCAGATAAGTTGCTTAATAGTAACCACAACACATTTTTAAAGAGCTTACATTCTGGATCCAAATTGTCACTTGAATCTCCCTCATACTTTTTTTCCTTCTGCATTCTCTGATATGAAAGCAATTTGCTCAAAGGAGTCTTTCTTTGAATGAGCTTTGACTGAGCCTCCATGTGAGTAATAAGATCTGAATTATTTCTTCATATATGGCCTGCAAAGGAATGTTGGTCATTACTCCGAGCATGTAGCATAGGGTTCTGAAAATTAGAGGAAAAGGAGACAAAAATTTCCTGCATTTGCCTTCAATTCATAGCCCTTATCGACTTGAATAAGACCACAGCAGATACTAAAAGGTGCCTTGTTTCCAATTAAGCACAACCTATAAATAAAGTAGGAAGCTGGGGCTGAACCCGTCAGTGTGGCCAGCAGTATTTTGCATAAGTTCAAGCCTACTCCCTCGTAACAGGTTCAAAAGTTTAACTGTTACTTAAATGTTGTTGGGCTCATGTTGCACTGGGAAATGCGTGTGCGTGGAAGAAGGGGAAAAGTTCCTGGAAAAAAAAAAAAAAAAAACAGACCAGTGAACCAATAGCATGGCAAACAGCAACCCGCTACAGTGATTGTGGCAGCTGCGGTGACATATCTCTTCAGCACATACCTACATGCAGTGTATGTAATGTTTGCATTTCTTTGCATTTTAGCAATGTTTAGGTTCTCCAGCAGAGATCAGAGTCCAGCTGGGTTAACACTAATCCTCAAGGATCTGCAGCGGAGGTAGGAATCTGCTGCAAGAACCCAAAGCACTGGGACAGACAACGCGTGCCGCTACAAGGTGCTATAATGATTTGTCCAAGATTTTGCAGCTAAGTCTGTATTGGAGCCAGAAATAGGAGCTGCTCTTGACTTCTACTCCCTGATACATGAAACCGCAATGGTTTTGGTGTTTGAGCCTCAGCATGTGTCAGACTCTCATTCCTTAATGGATCCTGCAGTGTTCCACCTAGCTCAGTGAACACACATTTGGCTTTTTTGGTAATGCCAAAACACGTAAAAAAAAATGTTTGAGCCAAGAAAAAGAGCTGTAGATGCAGACTAAGTTGTTCCCTGGAGTAAATGAAATATAAACAAAGTCTTTTGACAGAACTTCTGGATAAGATTTCTGGTGTGAATTAACCTTGAAGGGAACATTTGTGATCAAATAATCTCTGGAGCTGCTGGAAATCCTCCAATCTGGAGCTGAATCAAACTGATAGCGGAATGGTACTGGGTAAGACCTGGGTAAACTAGAATGGCTTTTTTGTTTTGTTGTTGTTGTTTTTCATATGCTCAAGCTACCTGAAAGAGACAGCACTCTCAGCTGGCAGACTGGGACATGGCCTGCTCGTGAATGCTAGGATCAGGGTAAAATGCCCGCCTGAGGTACATTCAATTCACTCTACGTGGACATGATTTCTTGAGGATACATTGCATTTTCACTTCATTCTAAATGAGAAACAGTTCACTTCAAAATCACACAGCAGATGAAAGCAGCAGAAATTAATGTAACGATAAAAGACTGCCTTGCAAACCAAAATTTGTATGGGATGGATTAAATTAAAATGAAAATTGTAATTTTCTAGTTCTTATTTCTAAAGAACTGAGTCTGAGAATCTTTTTTTTTTTTGCTGCCTGCATGGTCTGATCTAATTGACAAGCAGTTTAATATACCTGACGGAAGGCAGTCATGAGATCCACTCCTGTGTCAGTTTTCAATCCTTGGAACAAATACAAGGATGTGTAATGTGAGGCAGCCAGTAACTGATTTGCTTTTTCTGAAATGCTGAGATGTTGCTGGAAGAAAATAAACATGAGTATTCTTCCTCGGAGGGCGGAAAGAAGGGAAAGAAGCATATGTTTGAGAATGATCATTTTTATATATATTTGAAACCAGGAGATAAAGTACTGTTTTAATTACTCCATGTTTCTACTGTTGGTTTAAACCAGAGATTTAAGTAATTGGTTCATGGCTTAAAATGGCAAGTAGGAAGTCTTGACTTAAAAAATAAAACTTAATAACTTACTATAATCATATTTTATATTTGAAATTCTTGATTCTTAAATAAAAAAATTATTCCTTGTGCTTGGCAGATGAGTTGCTTTTTGTTATTGATTGAAGATACATCAACATAAACCTATTTAAACCTCTAATTTTCCTTTTATGCTCGAGTACTGTTTTATAACTTCTGTTTACTAAATGTTTGTTTTATTTTAGTGGCCATTTCTGTTAAGTTACATTTAGATAAGATCTCAGATTTAGTTGAGACACAAAGGAGTCATTATCTTTAATGCAAAACAAAACTTGTTTTTAGATATTAATACTAGTGGGTCTCATCTTTCCACAAGTTAATCATCCAGCTTTTTGATTTTGCCCATAATTTGGAAAAGGAGGAAAAAAGGCAGCTTGCTTTTCAACTCCCAGTTGAATTCTCAACTCTGAATGAAGTTCATCAAAATGAACTTGTTGAACAAAGTGAAGAATTCACTTTCTGCACCTGCAGATGAAGCAACTATTGTAGTAAAAGCTGGTTCAGCACCCAACGAGATATTTCTAGCCACATACTGAGTAATACTAACTAGTTTGGTACTTTGATTTTCTCTGAAATTTCTGCAGCAAGCCTGACTTGCTTGAATGTTTTGTACTTAATGATTTTAGATTACACTTTCCGGCGGGCTGCCCTTATTTCACATTTTTATTCTGAATTTAAACTGTTCCTAAGAGGGCAGGCAGGCTTGGTTTAAATCAAAGACTGTTACTTTAAAATTACATTTATCTTTTAAACTGATAATTTATTTGCTTTTGCTCAGGTTTTATAGTGAATCATGATTTATGTCACTTACTTGAAACAGTGGCTGATTGATTGTTGCATAGGAGCACTTGGCAATAAAGCTCTGAATATAATTTCTGCAGAAGCCCAAGTTAAAACTCAGCTCTAAAAACTGCAGGGCGAATGCCTCAGACCTGGCAAATCTCTTAACGTGTTGTAACCGTCTTGCTCCAGCGCTGGGGTTTTCTGATCTTCGTTTCTTGCCATGTATGACTACTTTCTTTTTCTGTAACTATCAGGCTGTGAGCTTCTCAGAAGAGGAGGAACAGGGGGAGGAGGAGTTGAGGCAGTGAAAACACAGGTGGCTTGGGTTATATTTGTCTTCTTTCAACAAATTAATCACTCCACTGATTTGCACTGTCCTTACTCCTGTGTGCTTTTAAATCCTTTCCCCAGGAAGCATCTCTGTAGAGAAGGTCAGATGAAGTCTTGCAGGTACAGTTCTTTTTGTGAGGTAAAGAAAAAAAAATTTTTTTTTCACAGATTAGAAAATTGAATAACTGTAATTCTTCCATGACTTTGGTCAAGTTAGTTAAACTCTTGCAGCTGTTGTAGATTTTAAAACAAGGGTTTTTCTCAGCTTCATTTAACTTGCTAGTTTATAGTAATAAATTCTCATAGCGTTTATTCAATTATTAATGCTCTTACCAGTAAGAGTTGTAGCATTGCACAAGTATTGCTTTCTGCTAGGTTTTATTTTTAGATTTAGACAAGAGTGTTACACAACAAAGGAACATGACTGAAACTAAATACTGACTATTAATTAAAACCATCTGAAAAGCTACTTGGAAGTATGGAGTAGAGACTTGGCTATGTTGCTGACTCATAAGAATGAAGAATTACAGTTCTTTAGTGGGCCTTGAATTTGTCTTAAATAGCTATTAAAGTCATGAGAATAAAACTTTCCTTTTAGTGACCTGAGTTTATTATTATACTTTAGCGAAATAGTGTCTCTATCAACTTTTTTTAGTACAATGACAAAGTAAGCAACTGTCAGCATGATTCCAGGCGAGGAAGAAAGGCTTTATTTCATTTATGTTTAAATCTGTGTGGAAGATTGTTTGAGACTATAGTCACAACAGATGAAATTACTGATAGTATAAATAGTTGATGGAAGGAGAGTGTGGTAGAATGAAAAGATAGAAATGTGTAAGATTAATATCTGTCTACTCCCTTCCTAGTGGGCAGCAATGCTACAAGTAGCTGATAAAATGTCGTGAAGAAGGGTTGTTGGACACTTCGATGTTTTTCATGCTTGATATGACCTAGAAGTAGTTTTATATTTCAAGAAAATGAAATAATTTTATGTAGTTACTGAAATGAGAGTTCTCAGACTAAGTATCTTGAGAGATGACTGTGACTAGTCTATGTTAGATGTACGTAGGCCCTCTTGTGACACAAGGAGCATACTTCATAAAACTCGTAAATTCTTTTTGACAGTGGTTGGCTACTCCCTGCCTTACTAGGTGAAGAGCTAGAGATGCTGAATGTCTTGCCTGCAATCATAAACTCTATGGCAGAGGAGTGATTCAAATCCTAGACTAGCCTTAGTTTTTTATCCTTCTCTTTTTTTAGAGGTTATCAGTATCGGTAGCCTGGGTTTGGTGTAAATAAGAGCTTGGAAATGACTGAAGTTTCCTTTTCCGGCTGGCAGAAATTGTTTTCCAGGATTACAGAGCCATTCGTGGCTGCAGAGAGCTCTTGTGCTCACCCTTACCAACAGGGTGAATGCAGCCTGTGCTTTGCTTTACTAGAAGCATTGCAAGTGACTGTTATTTTGCTTTCTCTGGAACCCTTCCCTGGGGAATAAAGGCATTCTCAATGCTGAGATTATTCTTGACATAAATTTATGCTTATTTGAGTTTTTAGTTAATCCTAACCTTAACATTCTCCATAGTGATTAAAATACTGTGTTCAATAGCAGAATGATCTTTTAGTCTGGAGGCAGCAAGGCTAAGAAGAGAGAGGCTGTAGAGGGGAAAGCCAATATTTTTGTTCTGTCATTGCTTTTCTGTTTATTCATGATAAATGGTTGCTTATCTGTTATGCTGTCCTCTTGATTAAGAGGACTCTGCTGCATAAAAGTGAAGTTGATTGGTGATCACCTAATGGTTCTTCTGGGAATTAGTGTTTCATTCTGGTAGAAAGGTCAAAACATGGGTTAAATAGACATTTAATGCTGTGGCTTCTTTCTCAAATCTGTGAAGACTTCACAGCTGTATTCTGCTGTGGCAGAAGAATCCACGATCCTGTAATGCAAGCAAATCCACCTGGATGCACCTGTGAAAATGAACTTGAAGTAAAAACTAGTAAAAGCAAAAGCAGTTAAATTCGCTTGCGAAAAAAGCATCTTTGATACATGGTTTATATAATGCCTCGCTTCTTGTGGCCTCCGTGAGCTCTTCTCTGCTTGAATAAATTCCAACTAGAAGAGGAGACATTTATTCAGTAATGTGCAGCTTCCTCCTTTGTCTCATGTTGATGCAAAATGTGCATGCTTGCGATGAAGATTTATTTATTTATTTTCCCAGAGGACAAGAAGGGACTGGCTAATGCTACTGGGATACCTTAGTCTTTTAGTGATATGTGGGTATTTGTTGAAACAATAATTTCTTTGCTATGCTCTCTGAGACAGAATTACATGTGTACAATAGAACTGTGAAATGAGTCACTTTCTGAAGTCCTCTGCGAAGTTCAGGTTTTTCACAAAGCTGCTTTTCCTACGCACACCCCAAGTAAAGAGGTGTAGGAAGAGTCTGAACTAGCCTTCTTCCCCAGCCAGAAGCAGGAACCAAGTGCCGTGTACATATATGTAGCTATTTGTCAATGACAATGAACAAAGGTAGATTTAACAGTAAAGAGTATGTGAATTTTATCTGCTGCTATCCTAAGGCTAAACTGTGCTTACACTGGATGCACACAGAGGTTTGTGGCATTATACAGACAACATGAGACAATCAATTTTAAAAGAAAGTATGGGCTGAGGAGGCAAGGGGGATATGGTAACTAAAAAATGCAGCATTTACTGAAACTCGCAGAATGAGAATCTTTCTGAGGGGTATTTTTTCCATCAAGTGTGTACTGAAATAGGTGGTCCAGTTGGTTTTTCTGAAGGTTTTTGGTAACAGAAGACTGTTCATGAAGTGTACTGGCCGTATAAATGCTATTAGTTTGGGTACTTCAGGCCTTTGCCATATATTCATTTCATGAGATGCATGCAAAGGCAAGAGAGACAAGAACTGAGTAATGAGTCATTTTGTTAGTCTTATTACTATAATTGTTAGTATAGTTAGTTTGCAGGTAGAAATATTGTTGGCAATCTAGTCATGTATGATAGATTCCATTTTGTTAGTCTTATTACTATAATTGTTAGTATAGTTAGTTTGCAGGTAGAAATATTGTTGGCAATCTAGTCATGTATGATAGATTCCATTCTTCAGCTATTAAATAGTCTTCTGAAAGACTATTTCATAATAGTATTTTAACCTATAAGCACCAAGTTTTAGCCATTGAATGTTAGTCACAACTAAATAGGACTTCAAAGACTGCAAATTGCAGATCTAGATTTTTGTCAATCTCCCCTAGGAAGGACCTCACCACGTAGGCTGTACAGGCCCCATGTTCAAGAGAAGAACAACTCAGCAAAAGTGCATGACTCAAGAGGACCTGAATGCGGGAAACATGAACACATGTTGGTATGTGAGTCACCCTTGGAGTTAATTGTGTTTGGTGAGAACGGGAAACTATTGATTCTGCAATATGTCCGAAACTGAAAACCAGGCCGAGTTTTGTGCATGATTACATCACCTGAGGAGTCTGCTCTCCTGTCTCTTCTTTCACTGTTTGGTTTAAACTCTACATTAAACTACCTTCCCTCCAGGCATGCAACCTAGGTGTTAATGTCTAGATTCAAATTTGTCATTAAACTTTATCATTCTAGGCTGAGTGAAGATGGAAAAAATGTTTATTCTGCAGTTGCATTCAAATGCAGACCACAGTGACAGAGCTTAGAAACAGCACTGCCTCTTACCTGCATCTCTTGTCTTTTGCAGCTCTTCTGCAGTCATCGTTGTTGTCTTTGTACGTTCCTGGGGCTATACCCCCTCGACCTGCTGGAGACGCGCTTCTTAATGCACCCCAGGATCCCATTGGCCTTCTTGGTCACCAGGGCACACTGCTGCCTCATGGTTGTCTTTGTCATTCACCATGACGCCCAGGTCCCTCTTGAGAGAGCTGCTCTCCAGAAGGTCAGTCCCCAGCCTGTCCTGGTGCCCGGGGTTATTCTTCTCCAAGTGCAGGGCCCTGTACTTGCCCTTGTTGAATTTCGTAAATTTTTCTCACGGCTCAGTTGTTCAGTCTGTCCAGGTCCCTCTGGATGGCAGCATAGCCATGAATAGTGAGTACACCTCAAGATGCAGGTGATTCCCATATATACTGGGAATGTGCAAGAGCAGGTATTCTCTTTTGGCTACTTTGTTCTCTGCCTGGGAGACTTCAAAAATCAGCCACCAAATCAGTCACCAAATGTTATTTCCATATCCAATTCTTTCATAAATTTCATTTTTGTTTGATCTTCAGTAAGTTTTTCAATAAATTTTGTTGTTATATAATTATATAAATGGTTTGTGGTTCACTGTGCCCCTTCTGACCTAGGCTTATAAGAAAGGCAAAACCTTCAAAACTGTTCATGGAGGTGGCAGAACATTTGCCCATCAAGGGATATTTGGATAAATAAATACTTTCAAAGACATTTTGTAGTAAATAGTTCAAAATCCTTTCAGGAAAAAAACGGGGTCTCTGACACTAGCTGTCTGTAAACTTGTCTAGATTGCAGCATGGTGTGTTCGTCAACAGCCTCTTACCTGGGTTTAGCCTAAGTGACAGGAACACCCTGGCGGCTGTTGTGCACCTTGTGCTGACGAGTCATAGTTAGTTAATTTAGTAGGGCTTTGAGTGCCCACAGCAGCTCTTGGTGAGCTCCCTCCTGCTCACCAGTGTCTTCCTTACTGGTGAGGACTACGGTGTGGGATGGTGTGGTCACCATGCAAGGGTAGGTGCCTCCCACTTGGGTACACGGTGTAAGGGCAGGATTGCACCCAGGGGCTCAGTGCATGCCAGGACAGATAGGGTGCTCTGGGCTCAGCGAGACTTTTGGATGATCTAGCTGAAGTGAGGCACTTCCTAAGCACATAAAACTTCCATGGCTTGGCCTGTTGAGTGTCAGCCAGCTACAATGATCACCCAATGTTCACCTGGGGAGTCTCAGCTGCCTTGGTCAGGTTCAGCTGTCAAAACAGCTGCTGGCACCAGAGCCAGAAGCAGAATGGTATAAAAAAATATGTTGCTGTATGGCTGGTTTAGTGTCAAATGTCTCAAACTGATTCTGACTTGCTGCCATAGAAGGATTTAACTGCTGGTGACTTTTTGTGTGACACAGCTATGGGATCTAATGCTTGCCTGAACCACGAAGAGCTGAACCTGGTGACGGGAGCATGAGAGGGATCAAAAGTTACTTTTCTGTTGCACTGGCACCTGACACCCGTGCTATGCAGGCAAAGGCTGTTCTTTGTTCCAAGACATTCAGTTCCCATCTAGCTGACAGAAATGAACAAGTAAGGAAGGAAAATATTTGGCTGTAGAGAAATGAGCTGTAATTTTGACTCACATTGTAGAGTGGCGTTCTGCAGACCACGTGGGAAAAGTAAATCATGACAAAGTTTTGCAGGAATACTTTGGCATGGAGTTGCTTGGATGAGCAGCGTGTTGGAACATGAAAGTCTTAGAGGAAAGGACTGATAGGCTGTTAAAGGCAGGCTAAAAGTGATCTCTATAAAAACAGCTAGAATAAGAGGGCGTTTTAGAAGCAACTGTAGACTTGTATCTAGTAGCAAAGAATGGAGCGGATGGAAGAATCTGGCTTGGGACACTGTGGTAGGGGAGAAAGGGAGGATAATGCAAAAGGAAAATGACTGGTGCTACTAATTTGGGTGGGTTTGCAGTATTTCCAGTAACAAAGCCCACAAGACTTGGCTGAGAGTGTTACAGAAACAAGGCCGGCTGAGGAAGCTTAAGACTGCGGGGTAGGCTGGAGTGGGGCTTCAGAAGATGGTGGCTAAGGGGGGGTATTTGGAACACAGGCCTGGGCCCACAGCGGAGCAGTGTTGCACCAACTCCATTGAAGATGAGTGGAAGCTTTAGAGAAACGGGAGATGGAGGGTTTAGGAAGAGTGTAGAGCTGGTGGCTTGATGCTCGTGAGGAAGCGTTTTCTGTTTGGCTTGCCTGTATGTCAGGAAACTTGGAAGTTCTGTTTTGGGAAAGTGAGTTACTGTCATAACAACAGTAGTTACAAATCTGCTTCTGACTCCCTATAAACATCAAGCTGAGATGACAGGAGTTGAGCACACGTTCTCCAGAAACTCAGCAGACATTTGAAGCACTTGACCCCCAGATGCCACCACTGCTCTGGTTCTGAAGGCACCAGAGGTGACAAAAACCAGCGCAGCTCCCGTGTGCTTCGCTGCCTGTGCCTGACAACCTCTGTGTGCGAGCGGCCAGGGCTCAGCAGCCCGAAGGGCGAGCGCCCCGTGGCCCGCGTCCCGCCGCGGGGCTCGGCTCCCCTCAGGGCAGCCGGGTTTACCTGGTGGCCGGGCGGGCGGCGCGGCGCGCGGGCGCCCCCTGGCGGCCCGTCCGGGGAGCGGCGCCTTAACCGATACTCGTGTGTCTGGTTTTCCGCACAGTTTCGCCCCGAATATACAAAGGGAAGAGCTGACTATTTATTTATGTATTTTGTTTTAGCTTCTGCGGTAACGAAGCAGTGAAATGCATAGATAAATTTTAAAAAATCTCTTTTATAGAGGAAAAATAGCAGTGGTACTATTGAATACAGAGCATCAAGGTGTTGAAGTAGTCATTAGACACCCCGAGCAGCTTTTGGAGATAAGTTGACTTATGTGGAGCTGCCTGGGACAGGAGCGGGGAGAGACACCCTTAATCTATACCTAAGCCCTTCCTTGGGGTAGAAAGGGACCTATGCACTCTGGAAGAACTTGAACTCCCTTTCTTGTGTTCTCCTGGCCTCCCTTCGTGGGGAGAAAGAGGAAGCAGTTTTGACACGCAGTTAAGAACTGTGGAATATGCCCAGTTCCAGCAGGGGTGCATGTGGTTTTGAATTTCCACCTCTATCTGCTTTTCTTATCATAAAGTTTTGTGGGCTTTTTTGATTAGTGCAAAACACTTCCTCTCCCTACTGAACCTGAATTTAGTCTAGAATATAAGTCTTTCACTTAAATCTTGAGTTTTCCGATAACATCAGCAACATTTTTTTTTTTTTAAATGATGGTTCTATTGAATAGACTATTGAATAGATTCTAATGACTCTTCTATTCTATTGTGGGAGCAGAGCTGTCCGGTGCCACGCAGATGGCAGGTTGCAGAAGTGTCCAGTCAAGTCGGTCTAAAGACTTAAAGACTGAGGTGAAGGGAAATCAAGCAGCTGATTGAGCTTATCGAGGATGGTACAGGAAGTCTGTGGTAAAGGAGAGCTCAAGTCCATGACTCATGAAGCAAACTAGCTGCTTTTTCTTTTCTCTCCCCTCTCTCTAGAAAGGTTGCTTTTAGCATTAGAAACTCACTGAGCCCTCAGAAGAAATCATTATTAACTCTGCATATACAGTTTCTCCAAATTCATCACATAATTTGACCCTCCTGTTTGAGATGTGCAATGGATCATTTTGCATATATTTAAATTTACTTTTGTTCAGAGTCGAGCATCGAAATGCTTTAGCCAAAACACAGGCCCAAAGTCCTTTCTTTGTAAAGTTCTTCCTGCAGCAAAGATCAGTTAATTTCAGGTTTTAGCGGCTGGACTTCATGGCCGGAAATGACTACAGAGACTGAAGTTCCTCATAGCCTGAACGCAAAATTAACTCATAGCTTAGTGCACTGAGGAAACACTTTGTGTTTTACGGTGACTTGCTGCACTGCGAAATACGTTGAGCCCAGAAATGCATGAAAATCCAACCTTGCAGTTGCCGTTGCCTCTGGACGAGCAGAATTATGGAGCTACCGCAGCACGGACGAGACGCGTCCCGCGTGAGTCAGTGTCAAGACACAGTCCAGCAAAGAGAGATTACGTGGTTGCTGGTGTGCTTTGCTATGCCAACCTAATAAACTTCATGGACTGGTTCATTGTACCAGGTGAGAAGCTATTTTCTCTTTCTAGGGAAAAAGCAATTGAAGTTCTCAATAGCTCTACTTACTCCTTGGCTGGAAATGCTCTGTGCTATCATGATGTGCTCTTCTGCCTTTTTAATTTTCTCACTAATCTGCTTAGCCCAATTGGTCATGAAATTTCCAGTTATAAGTCTTAAAAGGCAAGCATAATGTTCAGTTATTAATGGTTAATGGAGTGCTTATAAATCTTACACATTTCACAGACACGATTTTTATATTTTTAAAACTAAACCTCTTGTAAATAGACTTGAGCCTACAGGGCAGCTGGTCTATTTTTGTGTCTGCAGAGATTTGGCTAAGAAGCTTCTCTTTATTTTGTACAGCAGCTTACGATGCCTTCTCTGGACCTAATAGATTAGTTGTGGCCTTCCTTTATTGCAGAATAGTGATATGATTTCCTCCTCATTAAAAATACAAGAATATTATCTTTGTGCAGGATTGTTTGGAGGAGGTTTGGGTATGACTTTTTCATGATCCAGTAGAAACAGTGAAATTTTGGTAATGAGTAGAACATGATTATATAGAGAGAATGGAGACTCTGGTCCCTGAGCACCACCTACCACTTAACTAATGAAATATAATCTTCTTTCAAAATCTTTCAAAATATTTTGGTGGTTTTTCTTATTTTCTTTTTTCCTTTTCTTTTTCTTACCTTTTTTTCTCCTTTTTTTTTTTTTTTCCTGACCAAAGACAACATGGACAATAAAGCAGTGCTTCCAGTAAAGTAGTGAGAAATCTGTTTCCTTTGCTCCATGTAAAATGAGGTCTGCGTAAATTTGTTTGCTTAGCTTCGTTCCTAAATATCTGCCATGCTTCCTGAGGGCTGACGTAGAAATTAGGAGGGCAAAAGAAAACTGCTGTAAGCTTGCTGTATTTGACTGCTGAGTGGCTTGGAAATCATAAATCCTTTACCCTTGGAAAAAAAGTCCCAAAAATGGATTGTTATATTTGTAATTAATAACTAGTGTTCCTACACAAACAATTCATCCTAGACCACCTAGAAATTGAGGTCGTTCAGCCTGTATCCTTAAAAAGTGAGAGGTTAATGGGATTAGGAGTTCCAACCTTTCTTTTCTGAACCCTCCTTCTTAACTGCACATGGAAGAGGGAAGGAAGCAAGCAGGGCTGCATGCTGGGCAGTGTTGCGATAGAGCAACTGTAAGAAAAATAATGAACCTATGAATCCTGTTGTCCAATAACCTTCCCTGGAGAAGGGGAAAGCCAGGAGCAGGACCAGGCTGGCGGGAGCACCTGCACACGGAGGTGTTGGGCACCAGCCGGGGTTTGGTTCATTCCCGGCTTCCAGCTATTCCTTGGCTGGAATGCTAGGAGCGTTCATTTCCTGCTAGGAGCAGGATGTTTCCAGGAAAGTTTGTGAAATAAAGGTAGTCTATGAGATAACAGGCTCAGCTGCTTGTCTGTGAGATACTTGTGGTGATGTATAGAAGTGCTAAAGCAGAGTAGGGCTGGTGTCCAGGACTTTCCAATTACAGGCCTGGAATTACAACGTAGGACTGAGCCACTTTTCCGTTAACTCTCTGCCCATGTGGGCCTGGGGGAGAATATAAATGTATATTTTTCTCTCCAGTTTATACAATAGCAATATAGGTTTGCTTTGTTTGTTTTTGTACTAGCGCTGAGCTGTGTATTTGCCATTAAAACACTTTTGTCTGAAGCTAGGTCAGTTATTTCAGTTACATGGAAGAGAGAACTTGTGTGTGTGTGAATGAGACGATGTTGCAGTTCCGATCAAGTCTTTTATTAGCTGTGGTTTTTACTAAACACTGGGTTAGTCCAAAGTGAAGTTCCTGTTGTACCATATTTCTCGGTGTTCTAATCAGCTACTAGGAAATAATAGAGAGTTTAGTTTGTTCCATTTTAATTATTCAACATCTTGCCAAAGACAGACCTACAGAAGTAATTTGTCACTTTACACAAAATCACCGACTGACTTAAACTTGTGATCCCATTAGGAGTCACTGAATGCAGAATGTCAGAGCCTCACTAAGAAACTATAAAATCCCCTGTTAACTATTTATATGCTGATGTACTGATGGTTCCAGAGAAATAGAACAACTGTGATTGAAGTACTGTGTAAACTGACTCTCAGAAGATCCAGACAGTAGAAGATGTACACATGAATTATATCTATAGTGATAAGAAACTTGAATTCTGCATGGATCTGTTTATGGTAGGTTTGCATGTAAACCAACAAGCTAAATGTACTGCAGTTCTTGCATCTCCTTTTCTTGGAGTAAATCTTTGAGCTGGCAAATGAACAAGATCCCAAGGAGGGAGCGGGGGACTTCGCTGTCATTCAGTGTGTACTCTATTGCAGGCATCCTGCTGGATATCCAGAAATACTTCAAGCTTGGTGATGGGGACGCAGGTCTATTGCAAACAGGTAAAAAGATCTCTTTATTCCATATAATTTGCTTTGCTTGCATTGATGTAGCCTGTTCCTAAAATACAGTCTAGTAACTTATTTCTGTTAGCTCCTTCTAATGTGTGGTGTTGCTCACTTCCTCTTGTGGGAAGACTGACTAATATTTGAAATTAAGAGTCCTAGGCTTCAGGAAGAATGAAGTGCAGTCCTTTAAAAATCCCATATCATGTGATTCATAAAAGATCAAGGAATGCTTCAGTTAAGGAATATAGAGCTGGGATAATTTGCCCATCTTTCACCTCCACCCTAAAAAAAATAACTGCTTTGTCTGAGGAATGGGGAGTACTATAAGAATAACTTGACCAATATTGTCTTTGCTCCTTTGATTTGCAGTCTTTATCTTGTGTTACATGCTGGCTGCCCCCTTCTTTGGATACCTCGGTGACCGTCAAAATAGGAAAATCATCCTTGGGGCTGGTATTTTCTTCTGGTCTGGCGTAACATTAGGAAGTTCATTCATCAATGAGTCGGTATGTTGACTTTTTAGGCATTTGTACCAAAATTATCAGCCTAAGCCTTGCTGGAATTTATGGAGTCCTCCTGGGATCGTTTCTGGAAAAGCTATTGGAGAGCTGTGGATATTGGGATCCCAGCATGGGATAGTGAGGTTTAGGGGAGGCAGTAGAGTGGCTAGACGTTACTGTTGCAGTTACTGGGATCTTAATTCTGTCCCAAATTCTTGCTGTTTGGGTCACTAAGCTGTAGAGGGCTAGTAAGCAAACCTATGGCCTGTTGTCCGTATCCTCTAATTCTCACTAGGTGCAGTTCTAAGAAGTCACTAGGGTGCAGGAGGCCCAAAGCCCAGGGGCAGGATGCCAGGGAGACTGATATGAGGGGAAGTAACTTATATGCAAAAGACAGCTGAATCCTTATCTCCTCTGGTACATTTGACTCAAAATTGCACCCCTAAGTAAGCTTTCTTCTCACATATGCTTTTGGAATTACAGTATTCCTGGATGTTCTTTCTTTCACGAGGCCTAGTTGGCATTGGCACAGCTAGTTATTCCACAATAGCACCTACCATCATTGCAGACCTATTTGAGGAAGGAAAAAGGACCACAATGTTATCAGTCTTCTACATCTTCATTCCAGTTGGAAGGTTGGTTTTCTTGCCATTATTATTTATTCTTATTCTCTCTGACATGGCCAGCATTTCTGTGATTTTTGACCCACTCTGAGCCTCAATTAAGTAGATTTTCTTATATGTCTCATCTCAAGCTCTTGCACAAGGATGTGTTACTTCATTAGGACAATTATGTAGAGCTAATTAGGTTTATTCTCCTTTCAAGGAGAATGAAGAACCAAAACTCAGAAAACTGGTAGATTTTGAATAAAATATTGAAGCAGTACTGAAAAAAATGTGTGTGGAAGCCGGTCTTTTGTTTGTTTTCTCTGTGCTCTCCAACAAGCTCTCTCTCAAGCAGCTAAAATTCATTAGGGCTTACTGATTATCCCTTTCTCTTGCCTTTAGTGGTCTGGGATATGTCCTAGCATCCAGCATGGCAAGTGCCACAGGAGACTGGCACTGGGCATTCAGGGTAAGTTACTTTCACTCATGGGACACTGTAAAACCATAATCTTGGCTGGAGTTTGGATTGTTCTTCATTGGGTTAAAATTGGTGAGTGGTGGAACAACTTTCTACTGTCTGATCCTACATGAACATGGCATTTAAGAGAGCTCCTCCTACAGGACAGGTGGAATCTGGAAGATGTACACCTAGCTCGTGCAGAAGGAAGGCAGGCAAAAGTGAAACAACAGCAGCCACCAGGCAAGAGCAGGTTCTGGTGTCCTCTGCTGAGGATGCACTTGTAATGGTTGCCAGTAGACCCAGGCTTCTTCAAATAGAGGCAACTGAAAGTAAATTATCCTCTTACTAGTGGCATTGGTGGTGTTCTCCAGGAAAACAGAGAAGGGAACTGGTTTATTATTATTATTCGTTTTCTGAAATTAAGTTGGGAACAACTTCCATTATTTGAGGAATTCATCACATCACCATGATGTCTGTCCATGCTGAACACCTAATCCTTTGAAAGGGCTCTGTGAGATCTTTCTAACTTATCTATAAAATGAACTAGAAAGTACAGGATGAGAGAGGAAGGATGTCTGCTGGAATAATAGTCTTGATGATCCTTGCATTGATGATTAAAGTGTGCCAGGATAGTTTTCTTTCTCACATGATTTTCTTCAAAATCAGAGGTAGTGTTCATGAGTCTGTAATAACTGGCGAGGAATCTATTGTCTTTCCTCAGAAGTCTCCAAAAGTCACTCTTCTTCCTTTAAGTATGACCTACAAAATATAACCTACAGACAGCAAGTCATAGCTATTTCTGAGCATATATGCAGTGTCTCCCATATGTAATTTTAACACTGAATTTGAATAGCTATGGAGTTTTCAATACAAGAAAAAGGTGTCTCTGATCTAACTAGCCTTATCTCTACAGGTAACTCCTTGCATGGGAACTCTAGCCCTTGTTCTTCTGATCCTGGTCGTCCCTCGCAGGACCCAGAGAAGGACAGAAGCGCACAGAGCACTCAGCATCTCCGGCACGATTCGAGTAGCAGCTGAAAAACCAGGTGTACAGGGAACTGGCAAGACAACTTGGTGTGAAGATGTCATATCGCTTGGCAAAAAGTATGTGATTTTTAGCTACAAAAGTTCCCTCCATCAAAAATGGCCATTTCACTAGTAGAATGATGGCCTAGTACAATCAAACCCCAGTACATTCCTCTCTCCCATGCTGCATACAAGATGATTGAAACAACATTAACAGAATCCTTCTTCTGCTCCTTGACAGGAATGCTATGTCAGACTCAGTATGGTTTAAAAAGGAATTACACATGTGTTGTAACCAACTAACCTGCAGATGGCAGATGACCTCTTGCTCACAAGCTCACGGAAATTAAATTCAGTGTGAGCTGACTTGCAGGACAGTCGGATACTGTTTGCAGCAGGTTTCTCATGCAGTGGAAACCCTTGCAGAGGCAGGAGGAGGAACTGGATGGGGTTTGGGAACAGCAGGTGCCGCTGTGCACCTGTGCCAGACCTTGCTCTGCGCTTGCACGCTGTCAAATCGGAGTCAAATGCTTTAGTAGACAAAGCCTGTCTTGCTTTTTGGGGATGTCACCTTGCTTTGTAGTCGTCTTCTGAAGGATTCAGAGCTTTCTAACTGATAGATTGGATTTGCATCCAAGCAAATTACAGAAATTACCTTAGCAAAAGCTGTCAATAAGATCTGCTAAAGCTCAGGAACAGGGTGTAACATGAAATTGAAAGGTTGCTCCCTTAAGTAGCTCTTTATTGCTCAGTTTCAAAAATATAGCCTCATGCAAATTAAAATTGATGCTTTTTACTTATAAAATTTCTGCAAAGATTGTCTTGTTACTGCTTGAAATCTTGGATATTGAAATCCTGGAAATTGGTAGGACTTCCCTTTTTCTTCAAATTTCCCTCTTCTTTCAGATTGCCCTAATATTTTTCTTGTGTCTTTCAGCTGGAGTTTTGTGTGGTCCACCCTGGGTCTGACTGCCATGGCCTTTGTTACCGGAGCCCTGGGTCTGTGGGTGCCGCTGTTTCTCTACAGAGCTCAGCTTGTCCAGGGCCTTGTATCCCTGTGTCTCCAAGAGTCATGCAATTCACCCAACAGGTGAGGTGTGCACAGCTGTGGAAACCCACATGGAAATGCTGCCTAGTGCTTCCAAAGACAAAGGGTGGGATGTGACTGGGAATCTTCCAAGCTCCCCTTGGCATTAGCAATGGCTGGGATCCTCCTCTGCTATATACTGACCCTCGACAAATGCTCTCCATGCAAGTGTACATATCTAGCCCAGTCCTGGTTCTGGTCCCTACTTGCTGATGTGTTTCCAGGAACTAACTGCTTAGTGCATTCTCTTTCCAGATAATTAAAGGAAAAGCAGTAATTATACCTTGGATATGTTTTCTGGTAACTGAGTACTCTTGCTTTTCCCAGTACTTAAGTCACATCTAAAGAAGTTTGAGTTGGGGAAGGGGGAGGTATTCAGATGGTTAGCCTAACAGGAGATGGTCGCTGCAGCAAGGCTTAAACATATACATTTTTGTCCATTTCCAATACAGGCTTAAGCCTAGTCTGAGAGGAACTGCCAATTTTCAGGTAATGGCAAGTATGTTGAGAAGTTCTCCATAGGTCCCTAAACAGTAAATGTAATCGTCCTCCCATGGATGCCACCACTGACACATTATTTGCTTGAGCTCAGTGTAGTCAGGGAAGGAAAGCTAAACCTTCAGTCAGTCTCTAAAATTTCCCTTTTTAAGCTTAAATTGTTAGTTCTTGGGCTATTTTTCTAAACTAGCTTCTGAATTATTATTCTACAGTAGTGTTGTAGGGCAGACGTGGTCTTCAGGGAAGTAAAAGGGAGCACCTGATAACTTAACCTCGTGTAATGCATCTTACAGGATGCTTTAAAAATAACCTTGGCATAAGCTAGTGCCAGAGGCAGCATAAGGTTGACTTTAGACTGCTATTCCAGAGGGATAGAGGGGGGGGGGGGGAAAGCTTAATATAAACAGCTCTGTGAGATGTGTAACTGACAGTGCTAGGAGATCTAAGCTGCACATTGCTGTGTTTGCCTAGGGATGCTTTAGGGATATTATCTTCTGAGACCATTCAGCAGTTGCAGGCTTTGTTTAAGGGTCAGGGCTATGACACTTAGACTCCCTGGAAATACAAATTCCAGTGGCACTGTAGCTGAGTCAGGGCTCAGCTCTTTCAAGGTAGGTAAATAGGTGTCGTGAGGCTTGAAGCGCTGTCCTTGTGCAGCCCCTTTTGAGCAAGGAGATGGATACCTGGGCTTTCTCTGAGCCTAGAAGGCCCCACAGCAGCTTCCCCAGGACCAGACTGCTCTCCTCTCCTGCCTATCAATTACACTGTGCTCTAATTTTGTGTTGGCTGTTCTTTTTTCTCCTAGCAGTAGCTTCAGTGTGGCTGGGGCTTACAGCATATGAATTGTCTAAGCACAATTCCTTGAATGCTTAGATAAACGAATGTCACCTTGGGATCTGCATCTGCCAGCCAAATCTGTAAAGTAGTTATTCTCCCTGTTCAATCTATATTGTCCCTAACAAGCTATAGTGAGTGATGGATCAGAACACAGAAAAGAAATACCCTGTGGTGGGTGTTTTTTCTACAGTTTGTAGAGATATTAATGGAGTTCTTCCTAATCAGTTGGGAGGAAATGAAAAGATAGATGCATGACAGTTTAAAGAACCTAGCTGGTTCCTTTGCTTCTTTGCTTTGCAGGCGGAGAAAGCTTAGGACAATGTACTGAACTTACCCCACGTAGCACTCTGAAATATTTAAAAGCACTTGTGCTCAGGACATTATGCTTCTGTACCTGTCTGCCTCATGATGCATTAAACAGTCAGTGGCACTGCTGGGCTTGTTTCAAGGGACTCACTTTGTCATTAGGATCTCATCAGGGACACAGAGAAGAGCCTTTGTGGAAGTCCCTTTGGAAGCTAAATTTTCTAAGCAATTAGAACACACGCTCTCTGAAAACATGAACTCGCCCTGCCCGGGGAGCACAGACACTTGAAATGCAGTGCTCAGAAAAGGCTGGCAGTGCTGCCCGGGCTCGCTGTTGGGTTTTCTCCCCACCGTTTGGGGAAGTGGTAGCTGCTTTGCAGAGCTGAAGTGACTCATTTCAGTTACTAACTGTGCTAACTGGAGGGCTATACTCATTTAGATGTGCGTGATTCCTTGCGAAAGGATCTCTTCCAAGACAGCAGATTGTGATACAGAGTTGTTCCATCTGTGTTTAGGGATGATTGAGCAGATTGGTTCCCAGGTTAACCAACATGACTGTAACTCTTCTAAATCCCAGCAGGTCCAAGCCAGCTTGCACTGAGAAGGCTCCTCCGTGAAGCCGGGTGCACAGCCCCTGCTCCGCGAAGGGCAGAACAGCAGCATGGAACAGCCCAGGCCCAGCTGGGGCTCAGGCTGGGGACTAAATCAATTTAGAAGGAAAGGGAGGGTTGGATCAAGTGGAGCTGGATTCAAGTTACCCATTAGAGATTTGTCCATTTTGTGTGGGGTAAAACACAGGGCTGAAAAGGAAGGTATAAGGTGGTGCATGTAACACCATGCTTTTTCTACTGTACAGTTTTACTCTGCTCAGCTGAATCCTTTGCTTTGTCACCAGCCTGATATTTGGAGGCATCACCATTGGGACAGGAATCTTGGGTGTTGTTGCTGGGGCAGAAGTTGCAAGAAGGTTGAGGAAGATTAACAGTAAAGCGGATCCTCTGATCTGTGCTGCCAGCATGTTCCTTTCTGCCCTGTGCCTCTACGTAGCTCTGGTTGTGGCCCAGATGAACATCCTTCTCACTTTTGTAAGTGTTAATCTATTTATCATTAGCAAAAAATCTTCTGGATTAATGGGGAGATAGGGAAGGGGGAGGAAGAGGAGTGATTTTGCAAACTCCTCATCAAGGTCATCATGAGCCTTCATGATTTGTGATAAGGTAGTCAGCAAGCTGAGCACTGAACCCATGGCCCTGGTGCTGCCCATGGTTTGCTCTCTGCTCTCCTGATATGCATGAACTGGCCCAGGAAAGAGAACAGGCAATCAGCGAGTGTTATACATGGGGACTCAGGACCTATGGAGCCTCCCTACACACCAAAGACACACATTTACACACCAGGACACACACCAGATACAGGCTTACTGATGTGTGTAGTTAGCTGCACGAAGCTGGAGGTTTCTCTATCCAAAAATATAGTCTCAATCTTATGTAAATTTTTAATGCTGTGACTTTAAATGTAGCTAATTCAGTATGCGTATTTCATTTTACTCCCTGAATACTTAAAATTGGTCTTCTAGGGACTGTACAATACGTGCAGTTCTGGCTAAGAATAATTTAGCCATCACCTTCAATGCCTCAGATCACTAGCTGATCTTCAAAGTCAAGCTTTTGGCAATGCAACCTGAAGTATAAATCACTTAAATTCTGTCCTCAGTAAAGAAAACAACAGAAACCTACTGGAATGATGAACAGCTCCCAAAACTCCCTAAAAGAGGCAAGTCACTGTGAACCTTATTTTAACTATAAGCTGGTAACAGCTAGGAAAAGACTCCAAAGTGATTTTATTTTATTTTTTTTTCCCCCCCTAAGACTCTGTAGTTATCCTTACCATGATTAACATAAATAGTAGGATCCACGTAAAGTTAATTATAGCAATCAACACTTCTCTGCTAAAGGGTATTTTTGCTTCTAGGAATAGAGCTTATTTAGAGAATTTTTCCTTTTGACTTCTTGGGAGAGCATATTCCTATGGAAAAACACCTTTCTGCCAAAAGTAAGAGGCTAATGGCTTTGTGTGTTTTTTTTATACACAAAGCAAAATGTGAAGCTGAAATGTTTTGAGATATTATTTATTCATATTATATATTTTATATATAAATATAATATAAAATATATGTCTCAAGAGGTGAGATCTAAGGATTTAAGTGCCAAAAGACTTTGCCTTTTTCTTTCTCTGTATTTTAGGTTCCCTCTTAGTCCTGCTCCAGGTAGTTCTTTTGTCCTTTTTTTAATCACTAAAAGTGTAGCACGCAATCTCCACTACTCGTTCAATTTAGCACAATGTGTTAGATGAGTTAGTGTATCAGTTTGGATTTTCCTTTTCCAAAATACACGTTTTATTAGAGCTGACAAATTGAAATGTGTTTGAAACACTTTTCCCCTTGCAAACAGCACTCTGATTCCAAGCAGTGTAAGAGGAAATTCTACACTGGGATACAGACAAGTGTCACCTTTAAGTTTCTTTCCCAAGGGCAGAACATCTGGTCTTTTAATTAGACCCTTTGCTTATTTATTTATTTTTGTATTTGCTTGATTCAGGTGTTCCCACAAAAAATGAACAGTCTGTATAGTAATAAATTGCTTGTTGTCTAGGCACCTGTTTCTTCTAATATTTTTACCTCTATAGCTGCCTAACTGTGGCCTTCTCTGGCACCAGCCCTGCCTCTCCTCTCTTTCCAAACACAATCTGACACCAGTCCCACCAGTGTGGGAATTGGAGTGGCGGCCCAGCTGCCGCAGCGCGGCTGAAGGTCCCTCTGAAACAGATCCTACATTTGTGTAGGGCACTAGCAGGAAACCGGCTTTCCAGTCACTGTTTTCTTGGGCACTGGTGTTAGCAAACCTCTCGCATCAACCTATCACATCATGGTGTGGCAGTTATAGAGATTAAAAAATGTCTATGCGTCAGCTTGCAGAAACTGTAGCTTCTGTATGAGGCTTTTTGCTGCCTGAGTGGCTAATGAAGGGGAGCAATGAGCTGGGTTTCATGAGCCATGGCCAAGGCTGGCAGAAATATTTCCAAGTATGAGAATTCTCAAGCTAATAGGGAAATATTGCAGCACTTACCCTGCAACTTGCCTTTGCGGGAGACGTTCTGCTGCTGTTGTCTGTAAAGTGCCTTCCTGAGGGGGTGAGAAACCAAAGAAATAGTTGATCAATAAGGTCCAACCCTACTGATGACCTCCTCTTTTTGCCTAGGCATGTGACTATTCAAAAATAGTGTGTTTGGCACTCAAATGGACTACAGTGCAATTTTCTGTTCCCTTTATATACTGGCTTTAGGTATGAATGTAAAAACTTACCTACAAAACAAAATGTTCTTAGAATGTGGGACGTTATTTTGATTGCATCCTGTGGAGACCAAATAGGTCTAAGTCTGTTCAAAAAAGTTGGACATCCTGGAGAAGGTGAAAGAAATAAAATATGGTGTTTCAGTCTTTTCTTGGTACACTTAAGAGATCAAAACAGAATACCCTGACACACTCTGCAGAGTGATATACTACCTTCCAAAAATGTCTGAGTTAAATTTTTCTAGTAAATCTACAATTCCAATCTGCATGAGACCTGAGGGAAGAAAAGCTAACAGAGCCAAATCTCTAATGTTCAGACAATTCTGTATTTCAAAATTACTTTCTGCAGTATGAGTCCATCATATTTAGCTGTGGACTCTTATTTTTATTTATTTATTAGTTATATGTAACTTTTCATTAATTTCCCAATCACTGGAACTATCTTGTTTCCTAAAGATGAATTTGACATTCTTTTCTCAGCATAAGGCATGATGTGCCCTTGTTTTTGGAGGTATGTGGGTATATGGACATATATGTGGTGTGTCTCCCTGTTTCACTTCAGCCTGAACTCTCTTGATAGCTATGGCACAACTTGACAGTATTCACAAAGTTCATGCCAGGAGAAATATCTTTCATCTCATCAGGAGACAAAGAAAAAGACGAGGTCCTTCATGAGTTTGCCTTGAGATAAGGGGGTGAAGGGCTAATATTTTGTAGTGTCTTGCAAGACTGGATGGTGTTGATTTCTGCTGCAAGCTGACTTGCCAATGAAGTGAACTGTGTGAAATCACCACCCGTGTTAACAAACGGGTTTCATTTTGGTTTTGGCCCAATTTTGGGAGCCTATGGGCTATTATTGCTACCAGCATAGAAATGGAAGAGCATGACTGCATCCTTTTCTGGCAAGGACAAGCCAGCCAAGGTCAAATGAGTGGGGAGAAGTGGGATATATGAATCCAAAAGCTAAGACATAGTCAAAGTCCATGTGAAAGTATCATTTGCTGGGAATTTTAATGAAAGGAAATTACGAGTGGAGGATAGATGCTAAAAAGCTGAAAAAAAGGGCATCTGAAGGAATGGATATGTGGCTAAAGGTCTGTACTCACCTACAGTACAGGAGAGGGGTAGTTATGACAGGAAGATGCAGTGATTTTGTAGGTCTGGTTCATCTCATTGAGAGTACTATCTCTCTGAAAACACCTGATATTTTGCCACTGGGACTTTTCTAAGGATTGTATTTTCATCAGCTGGATTCAAGATCGTGATAAAGACCCCTCCAAAAACATGCTGGCACCTACTGCTATAGAGACATGTGTAGGGTATTCACAAGACTCCAAGGGGCTCTGTGGCCTGTGGGGCTAAAGAGGCTCTGCAATCTGGACCCACTCTGCTCAGCTTTTGTGCTTTCTCCGAGCAGTGGTTAGGCCCTACAGCCTGCTCAAGTCTGTCTAGGCCTGTCTGGGAGAGTTAATCTTTTCTAGTACCACAGGTGTAGGAACTCCTGGGAATTCTGCCCCTTTTTCCTAATGGCTGGGTCTCCATCTGTGGTGAGTTAGGGAATTCCCACAGGGCACCAAGGTTTCCAGGCTGCCTATTTTCTAGGAGACCATTTCACTTCGGAAGCAAAATACAGCTGTGATTACAGGTTATTTGGGAGGGTGGTATCATGATTCCTGCTTTGGCTCTCCTGCTAGGGATCTGTGACATGGAGCAACTCCTGTACCTTCTCTGGTCACTTTTCCCTGCATTTACAGTGAAGGCAGCGTTTGAAGGCATAGAAAGAGTATATGATTAATTTATAGAAATGAGTATGTACAGCAACTCTTATGGAGACAAGCATGGTCAGTGAGCCTGCTGTTGTCTTTGGGCTAAAGAAGGTCAGTGTATGCAGTCGCTACTTTTTTCTCTTTTTTTCTTCTTTTTGGCAGATTTTTATTGCATTTGGAGAACTGTTTTTATCTGTAAACTGGGCTGTTGTGACAGACATACTGTTGGTAAGTACCTGTGAAACTATTTGCTTATTTCCACATTTTCTAGCCTTTTACAGCATAATATTGTCCATGAATGTGTATCTTGGTGGCTGAAAGGACCTGTTCCCTCTAGGAAGAGATCAGTGAATGCTTGCTAAGAATATACCCATTGGCACCCTGTTAATGTCAGGGAGGTAATGTAAATGTAAAGTGTAGTGCTGGGAAGCAATATCAGTAACACTGCAGATGTAGCAGAGCAGTAGTCCAAGCTCAATGTAAACTCAGAAATAAGATGTGCTAGCTTGAGTGAAACCCTTGCAAGTGTAACTAGCTAGTGCTTTTGTATTCCTGCTAGTCTGAGTTTTCTGTACAGCTCTGCAGCATTGGATGTTTGCCAGAAAATAGTCTGCACCAGAGGGAGGATCTCTTCCTGTCTGCGCTTTGAAACTTATTTAAACTTACCTATCTTTCTCTATAAAGCTGATAGGCCAGTTTAAACTGGCCTATCTTTCTCTACAGTGTGGCACAGATGAGACCCAACCTGTCTGCTTTGGGGGAACTTCTTCTGTAAGATCAGAAATTTCAAGCGGGATGCTCTCAGGAGAGAGGGAGATTAGGGAAATGGAAAAATAGTGGAACTGGAAAAATGGGAACTGGAAAAATGCTGATGCATCTTCTATTTGGAGAAGACAAAGCAGAGAAAGTTGTTTAAGGCCACCAGGACAGGTGAGAGCAGACACAAAGTTAAGGACAAAGCAAAATACCCGCTCTCAGGCTGACTTGCGGATAGCACCTCAGTTATGGAACACTAGTAGCTGAAGAAAGCCAAATCCTGTAAGCATCCTGTATTTTAGGTAGCATTATTCCAAGAGAGTTCAAATCCATTTGCAGATTGCTATCACAAACTCTACTGTTGTAATAAATCTTTTATGCAAGAACCACAGTGGAAGCACCGTTATGTAGCACAGCATGCAGCAATGCAGGACATGTCACAGGAGTTTAGGGCAGTAAAGAGACCTTCAGGCCCTTGCTTGAAGCCTTAGCTTGTGAGGAAGAGTCCACATCACTGCTGAGGTTGCTGTCACTGGCAACATTCAGTCACCCAGAATGTGCAGCCTTCTCGGATGATGAAGATGGCATCGCTGGGTTGGGCACTGTCAATTTAAGGCTGGGCAGCTAAGGCACAGGCAGCTCCTTCCCACCGAGCCTTTCCGAACCCAAACTGCAAAGTGTTTGAGGAGCTGGGCTTCACTCTTGGGCTTTAGGTAAAGCTACCTCATACTCCAGCGTGCAGGAAATCTATTTTGGGTGTCGCTGCCATATTCCTGATCTGTGTAAATCCGTAAGAGAAGGAAGTTCTTGTCTCTTGAGTGACTAACATTCCTTCCACTGTATTCATTTTAGAAATTATATATTTTTTAGGTATAAGCAAAACTGTATCAGTTAGAACAAGTAGTAAAGTGAGAGGTTTTGCAGAGCCGAGCTCTTCCATCTGTAGTACCGTGTTCCCCCTGAGCAAATGTACATTTACCATCAATGTGGTTTGGGTTGGAACTGTTGAATTCTATTTTTTTTAACAAAAAAAAAAAGATAGCATTTACCTGAATTTGTGGATGTCTGCACACTCAGTAGCAATCTTGCTTGGGGTTTCTGTTTTACCCCGCTGCAAACCTGATGGGTTCAGTATATTACTGCTATTATATTGACTAAAGGGTGCCACAGATAACGATAATAATTTGTCTTTTTGCATTGTTTCCTGTGCAAGCTGGTAGAATTTCTGATAATGTGGCTGGATTTGCAAATGCATGTTCTTATTCTGCCATCAAAATGACTTTTCTTTCTCCTCAATGGCAGTGCTAACCAGACACTGTAGCTAGGAATTTATTTATCCTGCAACCTGTGGAGCTGAAGACAAAGGCAGATGCTGGCTGAATGATAAGGACTTTCTTCCTTCGTGGCTAATGCATCAAGATTCATTGCATGTAGCAACCTTTGTGCCCCTTGTTCAGCTGTAAACACGAAAGTACCTCTGGTACAATGGCAGTCAGGCAATAAGGCACAAGTGGAGTGGTGCTGTAGCTGCCTTGGCTACGACGCTCCAGCTCTCAGGGTACGTGGAGTCTCTCATGTGTGACGTGCACCATCACTGAGGTACTGGGACTTCGTATTTTAGGCTTTTAGCAGCTCCGAGTGTAGGAAATGCTGGAAACTGCAGGGTTGGGAATGCTCCTGACGTGTCCCTGTCTTTGTCTGGACGTGCCCTGGGAGATGCAGGAGCGTTTACCAGCCTGTCTGTTCCATCTGCTTCTCTAGCTGACAGCTCTGTCACAAAGTCTGCGGGAGGATCTATAAGCCCTCCAGAGACAGCAGGACAGGGATTGCAAATTACATGTTTGGGGCACCCTGCCTATCTGTCAAGGAACCCAGGCTGAGATCTCCACGGAGATGACAGCGTGTAGGATGTCATCCGCATCAGTGACGCGACCTGGGTACCTGGGTGGTCACCTTGGACAGCCAGAGGCTACGGCTCTATCGAAGTCCCTGTATCAAAGTTCCCTGTACAAAAAGCCCTGTATGTGGCAGTGTTTGGTTTCTTCCGCTCCTAGCGAACCCTATAGTGCACCTGGCTCTTGCATATTGTTTCTGTTGTGCAGAACAGCCTTAACAGCAGGACGAGCAAAGTTTTTGAGCTGTAAGGGTTGGGGAGCTTCCTACCCTTACATTTTCCTTGTCACAGCTTTGTTCCACGTGTCTCTTGTGGCTACAGATATGACATGTTAACTAAATGCAGGAATAATAAGCCAGCAGTGCAGGGCACTGAGCAGGCTAACGTGCACCGTGGCCACAAGGAAAGAGCCATCGGACTGCGCCTTCCCATGGCTGAAAAGGATTTCAGGTCTCAGATTTGCCAGTCTCACGGGACTGTGTTCTTAGACGGGCAGGAAACTGGATGCAATGTGCTGAGCGCATGTCATGAAAACTCTTCTGTAACTCTGAAGTCCTCAGATAGCCCTGCTTTAAAACTTATTATTCTTTAAGCACTCTAACTATTCCTGGTGAAAAATACGTGTTTTCAGCATAGTTACAGTTACCTACTTTGGAGAGACTAGGAGTGGCAAGGGCTGCAAGCTAGCTGTATGTTTGCAAAGTAAAAAGGGAGGTGGTGTCTTTTAATGAAACTGCTTTGTGTCAAGTCCTACTACTGTGTGCAAAGAGGCTGCTGTAAGATGCTGAATAATTTGCTTTTCCTTTTTGTGGCCGTTTCCAGTTGAGGGGCATTGCCAGTGTGGTTCTTTACTGAAATTGGTGCAATAAAGGGTAAGGAGGACTGAAAAACTCTCACCCAATGGAAGAAGTTGTATGAGCTCCCAGGAAAGTTCATTTCTGAAGAGAGGGATATTGGCTGTAGGGAGAAGGACATGTCACTCTCATAGATGGGTCTCTGTCATCCCAGGAGGGTACAAGGCATGTCATTGCTTATAAAAGCCTGACTATGGCACAGACTTAGTAGAGAGGGATTAGAGGAGAAATAGCCAAGTTAGCTGAAATTTGTGCTAGTAATTATTTTGGGACAAATATGTGTGTTTTCTTTCTCATTTTAAAGTGCTCTGTTACATCTAAATAGGATGTTCAGCGTCACTTGCTAAGGAAGAAAGTCTTACTGCCACCAGTGTTTGCTTTCTCAGTTTTTAAACCATGGATTTCAACCAAGTTTCATAGAGATGGAGACTTCTAGAAGGCCTAAGTTCACACAAGCTCTATGAAAACAGGAGACCTCATTGAGAAATATTCAAAGTAGCATGCCCCAGCAGAGCCCCGTTTTAGGGAATAATCCTTTTATCCACATCATCTTGTTTGTGCGACATGTAGGCTGTCCATGGAAAACACTGCAGTAGCCAGAATGAGTAGTGAAGCCTTGTGATTTACACAGCATTAAATCAGTCTGTCCTCGAGCTAGTCAATGGCTACACTAAGGGCAAAGAGTCATCTGCCCATGTGGAGGAAGACATGCTAAGACATCTGCTGCCCTTCCCTGGAACAGATGCTGGGCAGGAATATAAACCCATTACACGTGACTCTAATTTCATTTGGGTTGTCTGGATGCTGTGAAAATACCATTGAGCATTTACATGCACAAGGTAAACTCGTGCACGAGGGTAGTTAGGCTGGGACAGATGTTCCTGTTGCAGGTTATCCATACAGGTGTAACTTCCTTTATGAAGATTGAAGTCTTTTTAAGTTTTTCCTATGGGAAGAAACAGAGGAATAGGAGATCTTGGGAGTCTTTGATATGAGCAAGTGGTTGCAAAACAAAGATAGGAAGGGTTAAAATAGTTTCTGACTCATTATTCTGACAGTGAATGCTTTGTCTGTGAATGTACTGTTGAGAGTGAGAAACCCAAATTCTAGAGTCATCCTGTACCTCTTCAGGTACAGTTGATCTCTACTAGCACAGACTTAAAGCCTCTATTATCCCAAAACGACCATATTCCATTTCTAAAAATAGTTATAATGACTCTGATGCTTTGCACAGTTCGGGGCACACATTACCTCTTCTTCTTCAACTTGTTATTTCAAGGGCATGCACTCAAAAACACAACCGTTTTGAGGAGTCCTTATTACATAGCTATATCTCAGGTGCTAGCCAGCAAGAAGCAACAAACTTCTGTCATCAAAGCTGTCCTCAAACCACAACTAGCCATCTTCTGGTCTGGAAAGGCTGGTCCCCTCCGTTGCTGGAAGATCGCAGCTGGTGTCCTTTCAACCAAATCTCCCTGCAATGGGCTAGGCCAGGGCTGCTGCCACAGGCTCAGGAGCACGTTTTGCTCGGAGGCTGTGGATGCTGAGTCTCCTTATTAATACATCAGTAAGATTGTGAGGGTTACTGACCACGCTTTCCTCTTCCTGGTGTGACCAGCAACACGCTGCAGTGAGCCTGCAAATGGTAGCAGGGGAGTCATGTTGTTCACGCTTTTCTGCCATTCCTCCTTTTTTTGTGTTTTTTTTTAACATTTTTTTTTCCTAATAAAGCATCCAGTGTACTCTTTGTATCTCCAAACTTGCAAACAGCGTTTGAGTAAATAAAACTGTATATATTCATCTCTAGAATGTCATATATTTCCATTCATGAGATTCATTTTGCTAATACTCATAGTTCTGTGGGTTTTGCTTTGCTCTTTGTTTCAGTATGTTGTGACACCCCGACGGCAGTCGACAGCAATAGCCCTGCAGATTTTGGTGAGCCACTTGCTGGGAGATGCAGGCAGCCCATATCTCGTTGGGATTGTAAGTGAATTCTCTGCTTCGCTGAACTTTCTTTAGGGACTGAAAGACAGACAGAATGCTAAATAATTCCTGTCCAAAGCTAGAAATTATTCAAGTTGTACTTTTGATATAGGGAATATGAAAGCAACATTCTTCTAAAACTCTTTTTTTCCTGAATTGTTTGAGTTCAACTGTTGGTTCTGTGAGATTGTAGGCCTATAGAATATATAGGTGAATAATCCCATGAAGCATGTAGAGACTTATTTTGATTGAACATTTGCAAATTCATTTTTTTAAGACATTAATCTTTGCAGTGACAGTTTCTCAGGTATTGTACTCATTTACATGCTTTCTGCTAAGTTAGTGAGGAGTTTTGTGGAGATTAATCAAATTTAGATATTGAAAACTGAAATTCTTGGTTCAAATCTTTAGTTACAAAATCTTGCAATGAATTAAAATTTTCTTGCAAATGCTACAAGAGTGATCTATCTGGTTAGACCACAAGCAGATGTTGAGGAGATCCCTCTCTTCCCACCTTGGCTGAGCAGCAGAAATCCCTGCTGTCTAATCTGCCTGGCAGACCAGAGGGTCCATTTTCACTGGGAGGTTCTTCCTGGGTGGTTATAACTAAGCAGCTCTATTTGAGGCAGATGAAGAAATTTTTACTTATTGGAACATACTATGAAACTCGTGCCCTAGCACTGATAAGGCTGTAAGTACAGGGGTAGATGATAACTCATCTCCTTGTGTCATGAAAAATCCCTGAAATAATGCACCAAAATGGGAGCTATCAGTAAAGCTGAAATACTGAAAATGAGAAAAACTGTAGTACATCCTGCGCATTCTCCCTTCCTTTAATATTCTATTGATTTGTGCCTCCTGCTTGAAGGAGGAAACTGTTTGTCTCTTATCCAGAGTTACTCGGCGTTTTTGAGACACAGGTAGAATCAGGGCTTCCTGCTGCCTGTGCTGCTGTGCCCTGCGAGGAACCGCGTGCAGAGCGCTCGCTCTGGAGTCCCTCGCAGGCAGCTGCCTTAAATAGCAGCTAATTGAAAAGTGTGAAGACAAAAAAGTCCTGGTATATACCAATGAGCTTATCCTCAGGTAACCTCGCAACTTTGCGAAGAGCAGAGAGAAGTTCAGGAATGAGCCTGTTGTATGTGCAAGTGTGTGGTCCTGGGCACTAAGCACCCCTTTGTGGGTTGCAGGGCTTCTGTGAAGCACAGCAGCAAATCTGCCCGTGCCTGCCGTCGCCTAAACACGGCGTCTTTTGCATTCAGGTTTTGCAGTTGTTTACTAACCTCCTTCAGCTAACCCTTTAGCTTAAAGCCTGTCTGGAGATTCAGTGAACACTCTTCCTCAGAGCCTGTTTTCCTCGCTTTGAGCTCTAGAGATTTCCCTACTGAGCATTTTAAATTAAATGCATTTGGTTTGCATTTCGGCCATTATACCTGCTCTAGTCCCTAGGTACCCATTTAGAGTTGATCGTGCTCTTATCTGCCTGAAACTGTCATAAATAATCATATTAAGCCAAGCAAAGGGTGAAGAGTCTCGTATTTGTGTACTCCAAGTCACGCAGCATATTGTGACTATCGGGGACAAACGTGGAATAAAAATTACTGCATTTAACATTCATCTTTTCATTTTATACTGCAATGAGATTTTAATTTAATGGATTAAATAGTGAATCTTACTGAGTGGGTTCCCTGGAATCAGCTATTTTTTTTTTCCATCTACAAAAATAAAATTAATGTGGATCACTTATAACTTTTACAATCCCATCCTACAGTCGGTGTAAGAAACAGCTGCCTGATCCCACCTTCTCCCTAGTTTCTCATCATGTCACTCCATGACTCCTCAAATGCCTTTTGGCTCCAAAGCAGACTCCAATCTTGTCTCTCAAATCCATTCCCAGGTCTTTCCTTTTTAATGAGTGCTGTTGCTTGTGCACGTGGCTGATACCAGTTCCTCGTTTCTATCCATTTGAGGCTGATTGGGGATATACTGATAAAGTTTTCAAATAACATCAAGAAATGATGATAGTTATTGCCAAATACTAAATCTGCTCTGTGCTGGCTGTCTGGAAATGGGTTAGAAAATGGTAAAAGGAGCCAGTGCTCTGAAAAAACACCAAAACTGAGCAGATTCTGAAAGCATCGGAAGGCCATGGCTGCAATACTGTCACCTCCTGTGGTTGGAGGCACTGAACACAGAAAGGGAGATGAAGCTCCTGGATGAAACAGAAGCCAGTCAGTGGAGAAGCACAGAAGTTCTGGCACTCCGTTTGACAAATGCAGGTTTCAGGCTTTTCTTCCCTGTCTGCCCCGTTCTGTTCTCTTCAATGCCTGCACTGTGACCGATCTGCTGAAACCGAAAGGGTGGTGTTACTGCGGATAAATGACAGCACTGTTCCCTCCCTAGATCTCCAATGCTATCCAGGCCAAGAATCCCAGCTCTTTCCAATGGAGTTTCTGGAGCCTACAGTACAGCTTCATCATGTGTGTGTTTGTCGGTGTCTTTGGAGGAAGTTTTTTCCTCCTGACTTCTTTCTACATTGAGGAAGATCGCAAGGAAGCAGTGCAGCTTTGAGGTTTCTATGCATCTTTATAACTTTTAAACCTGTATCTGATTATTTTCTGTACGTACAATAGCCAAGTTAATGACTCTAAATTTACAGCACAGACATCCTTATTATACTAAAGCCACAATAGTTTCTACATGAAATAAATGCCAAACTCCAGTCAAAATCTCAGCTTAAGCAAATCTCCTGTGTTGAGCACGAGAGACTTTGCAAAACACAGAAAGGTCAGGGTGATGTTTGTACTGACACCTTTGCAATGCTGCAGTGTTTGGAGGCAATAAAACAGCTTTACTGCAAGCAATGCACAATTAAAGACTTCATGGAAGGTGTGGGTCTTCCTCTGTCTTTCTAAGCCCAGCAGAACCACTGTTAATTCTCTGTAATACTTCTCAATTTTGCATGAAAGAAGTCATATTCAGACTGTAAAAGATGGAGAAAATATGCTGAATTGGCAGGAACATCATCCTTATTAGCCTGGTTTCATATAGCTTCCTTCTGCTCTGACTTGGTTTTCCAGGTACCAGGACTGAAGGCTGCCTTTCAAAGGAAGATGAACTCCGGGACAAGATATGCAAGGATGAAGAACCTCTTCCCCTTTTTCTTTCCTTTTGCTTAATGAGATACAATTAGAGAAAAGGCCAAATGGCAATTTCTCCATATGGCAGGAAAAACCTGCATATTGACTTTTTGGATGCTTCTGATTGTAAGTCCAAAATTGCTACTGAATTGGCACATGGCAGCACTCCCCCATCTGCGGAACAGGCATGAATGGGCTGGGGAGCTGCAGAAGGCAGCAGACAGATCTGCCACGGACACAGCCATAACCTAGACCAGACAGTGGCATTTAAGGCAAATGTCTCTTGAAGATTAGGATGGGAGGCCTATGAATCCTTAGCAGGATAAAATTTGCCTTTAGGATTTGGAAAATGTGGCCAATATAAGTAATATATTCAGTCATCTGAAATGACGAAGAGATTAGTCAAGGCAAGTGCCAGGTTTGAGAGTGGAGAGTTGTAATTCTCCATGTAATATATTAATGCCTTTGTTATAATCCTTTGAGGCTCTTCCATGCAGTGCCAGGCTTTGGGTGAGTATCTCTGCACATGAGTAAGCAGTAGTAGCTGTAAAGCCACTTGAATGTAACTATCCAGCTAAGTTCTGATCTCTAAAGAGCCCCAGCCTTTAGATATGGTATCTATTGCTGTAATATTGTGCCAGGTGCCAATTATGACATGATTATTTTGGGGGTGCTGTGGTTCCCTGCAATGCCTTAAAGCCAAAACCTGAGGCAGATTTAGCAAGTACAAGCATTGGGAATCTTCCCTGCATCTTCTCATAAGCCATAAGGATCATAACGCACAATATTCTTCTAATGAGTGTGACTAACGTCATTAAAAATAGCATCATATGGCAGCTGCAGGGTTTTTGTTCTGTCTCCTGATAATCAAATTTGGCTAGACCTTAGGCAACCATGGAAATTAATAAACATTTTTTTTTTGGATACGCAACTAGGGTGTTAAAAGAGCCTTAAAAGCAAAATCTGGTGTGCTGAAAGACTGAGCAGCCCTTTCTGGTTGTACAAGGGAGCCAAAGCCATTATACCGCTGTCTTTTTGGAAGTTCACGTGTTGCCCAAGGGTCTACAACCAATTCCCAGTCCTGGCTGTGGACACATCAGCTTGCAGAGGTCCTTAGTGCTTTTCTTAACATTTTGGATGTTCAGATTGAAGTCTTTTGCATATATTTGCAGACTGGATGAACAGATTGTACAGCAGCATCTTTGCAAGAATGTGTGGGTCTTGCGTGACTTTTCTGTCTAGAAAGTGGCAGAGGAGTTCAGTGACAGAGGCACATCAATACAGGAGGCCATAAAATAGTATGCATTTTGTTTAGTTTTTTCAGGAGCCTACTTAGTGTCACATCTTTGTATTTTACTGAATTTCTGGGAAGCGGAATATTAGCTCACTGCTATAAAGATTTGCCTTGTGCTTCAAGTCTTCTTGTATAGAGCATGTACGCATGTGTGTGTACAGTCTAATTATAAAACTGGGGATATTGGTATTGGCTAACTATTGGCTTCTGCAAAGAAGCCATTTTGTGAGGTTACTTGATATGCTGAAAGGAGTTGAACTGAGATTCACGGTGCTCTGTATCAGCAACAGCATCACAGGACTCTACCTCCACGTTGCCAAACTCTGGAGATAAAGGTTGCAACTTCGAAATACGCTGACAGCTGCAAACCAGCTGTCCCCAACACCACAGCTGCTTCCCTAACACGCAGGCAAGCCAAGACCTTGAGAATCACTTTGTCTTTTCTTGGCTGTGGTGGAATTTAAGCAGCTTGAAAATACATTTCTGTTGGCACATTTGTGATTAGTCCTGTAAATAGATGTTTTTTCTCATGTTTCTTAAATCAATATTAAACTCTCTTTTAAAAAAATCAAAACCTGAATTTGGAATAGTGCAGAGACACTCATTTGGCATATGAGCAAGAGGGGCCAAATGCTGTTCTGTAGATGGTACAAAAAGTCCCTGACAAACTTGTTCCTACTCCTACTTCTTATCTCCTTTTTGAAAGTCAGTGACTAGAAACTAGCAGGGTCAGGCTGACTAGCTCGCTCACATCTTTCCAAATGTGTCCCTCTTTTCTTTGTAATGTAAGGGGAGAGGATTTGTATTTTTTCCTGCATTTTAGCAAGCCTGACCAGACAAGAGAGCGGATGCTCTGAGCTCTGCCTGGGCATCCCTTGCATTGCAGAGTCCTCTGGTTTGAAGAGACCTCTTGGCCTAGAGGTCTTGCAAAGCTGCAGTGCTGCTCTGATACAACAGGGGAGTCTCTGCCTCCAAAGCAGGGAAGGAACAAAAGTTCTCCTTAGGAGTTAATTAAAATACCAAGAGTTTCTAAGGGTTTAACTGGCTGGCACCAAGCAAAAATGAGTGACTTAAAAGAAGCTTATTTAATGTGCAGCTTTGTGTAGATGGGAAAGAACTGCTGCAAGGTTCTGCAGTCTTGGTGTCACTTGCAGCACAAGGTCTGTGGGAAGACCCAGACCCTTGCAACAAATAAATGACAGCTGACCAGTTGTTCTGTAGCTGTTCATATGTTTGCCTTCTATCCTTGCCTTTTTTCTCTTGTTCTTTTCAGCTAAAATAGTGGGTAGAAGGCATTTTGGAACTGCTCCAAATGGTTTCACTTTAGAAGTCCACTCGGGTAACGATTTTGGTCTTTTCCTCTTGCCCGCTCCATCATTCCCTGAAGCAGGGACCATGCGATTGCTCCTGACCTTTCATGCTGTGTACGTGGATTTTTTTTTAAAGGAAGCACTAGAACTCTGCATAAAAATTGCCTTCAATGTCACGATTACTTTTAATTTCTGCTAAATGCCTGCAAAGGCACCTAGTGGGCAGGACACACAAGGCACACAGTGCTGCTACATGCAAATAATTCTCTAGAGTGGTTCATTCTACAGGCAGGATGCTGATGCTGCTATCAGCATTTTTCATAATTTTCCAAAATCTCTCATGTAACTGTTTCTTTTCCTCCCTAGCCCCTCCTCAAGTAAACAGTCCCTGCACTGCGCCTGAGCAGGGTTTCACAGCACCTAAAAAACCTCTCTGCAGCGTGTCTGCAGGTGTGCAGATGGCACTCTGGCTTTCAGGGTGCAGATTTATCTGCTCTGCGTAGGCTGCTCACTTCTAAGATGATCTTGTGTTTAATTCCTAATTTAATTGTTAATCACTCATGCAACGGATTTATCTTCTGCAAAATATTTTTGCAGGCCAACGGTGGCCCTTTATAAAGCTGCTGCTGTGAACAGGCGTGTCACCGGTCTCGGTAGCCTCGAGGCCGGCGCTCGGGGTTGTCGTGGTCAGTGCGAGGGAGCTGTGCAGAGGCAGGACCCCTCCGGTGTGTCCCATCCCAGTTTCTGCTGCGGCTGATTGAAGTTTCTCCATAGTGGCAGATGAATCATCTCTGCTTCTGCACTGTCCCCTCCTCATATTGCAATGTGGATGGAGTGTTTGTTGAAACAGATTTTGAAATAATTAATATTAGAGTCCTAGAAGTCCTCTGTAAAGCCAAACCTTTTATGGTAAAAGTTTTTCCTCAGAGATCTTCCAAATGTGTTGCTGTGCAAGCACTTATCTGGCCTCCTTTCCTAGTGCTGAGCTCTCCACCCTGCCTGAAACGTTAGTTGGGGGTGGCTGGGAGGGTGACTTGGACACTTCCTCCCCTGCGACCTGGAGAATTCACCTACACTCCCAACACGGGCCAAAAATAAGCAATGAAACAAAAATGCTTTGGGGGCCCTGCCAAGTCGTGCTGGCATTTACGTAGTTGGTACTGGCTACGTTTCAACACAAAGCAGCCAGGGGGTTCATCTGAGTTCTCCTATACTTATCTTCATTATAATCCAATAAAGTCTTCAAAAAGTTTCTCGGAAGTCTTTGTTTACAAGGGAAACAAAGTTTGATATGAAAAATCTTTAGTTTCTAATGTTACCTAGTGGATCAAAATTGTGTTTATCACACCTTCTGTGATTCATTGTTTGCATAAAAGTCTTCAACCTGTTTGGATAATGCTGGTGGTTATTAAACATATTAGTCTGTGTTAATTTTATGTTAGGAATGCCAAGAGATGGTGCACCTCGAACACACACCTGGCAGCTGGGTAGTGTTTAAGCAATATCCTAACCTAGAAAACTATGTTCTCGATCACATTTTTTATCACGGAAGCCAATGTAAGCAGCAGTTTCTCCCAGTCCTCCCTCCGATTAATCTGCATAACCTAAAACAATTCAGTAGGAATTGTGTGGTAAACTCTTGAGCAAGTGATTTTTCTTTTTTGGCCCCTTATTTGCCTGGAAGACAGAGCTACTTGCCTGATCCCCAGAGTGAGGAGGCCCAGCTCCTACAGAAAATTGCATGTGGAGCTCTATCTTTGGAAGGGTTTTATGTGGACATCAGATATGAATATCTCCAACCTATTAACCTGGCCACACTCACAGTCTGATCTCCCTCTAATAGCATGTGATTAAACGTGATTCAGCATCCTATCTGCTAAGTGCGTGCAAGTGGGCGAGCCTTGGGAGGGAAGCAGATGCACTTATTTTCATACCAGCTGCTTGCTTCTGTAAATTTATTTTATATTGTTAAACACTGTCAGGTTGTCTTAGGGGTTCTCCATCTCCTGACTTAGCGCAATGACTAATGCTCTTTGTTGCTCTTTACCAGAGGCTCGAGGTGCCCAGTCCCTGATGGCTTTGAAGGAAGTCCATTGTCTGTGTCTTGGGGAGAAGATCTCCATGCTAACTGGGGACACAGGGATTTGTCATGACATCCTTACTAAGGACCTTGGGGTGTTTTTTCCAGACAAGGTATAGGAGGAAAGGGGAAAGAACTGCAGGTGCTGATGCTCCTTAAGATGCAAATGCTTGACAAGAAAGACTAACTTGATTGAGTGAGCGGAAAGAGTTGGGAGGAAGCTGCGAGCTCCCTAGAGGGCATGAGAGCCTGCAGGTTTGCTTGGAAAAGCGATTGGCTTTTCTGTGTTCCCAGCAATTCCACAGCAGACTTCCTTAAATACATGTAAGTACGTTGGCTTCTCGAGCTTTGCAAACTGGCCCTAGGACCACGTTGAACTGCCTTCCTTTTGGGGCCCGCTTTTCTGCACTCCAGCGATGGTGCAGGGGGGTAAGGAGAGCAGTCGGATGCTGGTGTCAGCATTCAGCAGAGGAGTGGCAGTGCCTGCTTTCCAAGGAGCACCTGCCCGTGTTGGATGTGCTGCACACCCCGGGGGGAGCCCAGAGCCCGTTAGCTCAAGCCGCTTGTGATTCCTTCTGGCTGCTCTTTTCTCCATCCCATCCGCTTCTACCCAAAAGCTGCCACAAGGATAATGTCATGTTTTAGCTTCAGGCTTCTCTCCCAGCAGAGCTGCCTCTTTTTTTCATCTGAGGGAAGGTAGAAGTGCTCGAGGAGCATGCAGGGAAGATGTAACTCACCTCATGGAACGAATGTGCTGCTGCCTCTGGACTACAGCAGTCCAATTACTGATCCAGGGTGTGCCAAGAGCCCAAAACGAAGTTGTGATCAGCGTGAAGTGAGGTCTAACAGCAGCGAGAGCTGTGGAAGAGCCCGTATTCAGCAAAGACGTGAGCTGGGTGGAGAGGGCACAGGCGGCCACAGACAGCACCGGAGTAGGAAGGTGGGAAGCAGCTGGCAATATAGGAAGAAATGAGTAGCAATGGGAAAGAACAGGGGGAGACGTGTCCTGGTAAACGTGCTCACATCCATGTCCCACTCAGCAATGCTGCTATTAGAATTTCAGTGAACTGTCCAAATTGATTTGTTTCTTTAAGGGATTTACTTCAATTCCTCACTAAAATAGGAGCTATATGTGCATTTCCCCTTCCAGTTCCCTCCTTTTTAATAGAATTAATTTTAGCATCACCCCATGGGCACTTTAATTCTTCATTCCAACTCTACTGTGTGAAGTCGTCTCACCAGATCCAATCAGGTATTTTTCATTGCTCTATAGCAGGGAGGAAATGAATTTTTCTGATGAGGGAAAAGTCGCAATGAATAGCTTGATTCTCCTCCCCAATACTGTTTGCATTCAATTTTGTGCTGTAAATGAAGTCAATGTTTTCCTGGGTCAGGGGTGGCTAATTATTCATAGCACTTTTATTTCCAGCAGTCATCATATCCCTGCCAATCATCATTGCAACTGTTCTGTGCTGGGCTTACTTTGCACTGGTCTGAGTCTAGCTGCTATCCAAACTTGTGCTGTTATTTGTTGCTGTGCAGTAGGTTTTCCTGGGCTAGTGCCAATAATTTTCTTGGTTTCTGAAGGAAGATTGACAAGAGGAATTTGGCATCAGTGTTTTTGGTTTCTTGCATCTAAAAGATTACGTCTGTTTTTAAAGAATGAAATGATAAGGAGGAATATAGATCTGTTCATTTATAAATATAAAAGAAAGGAGAAGTGTTTCATTAGGATGAGTTTGTGTTTCCTGTTATTTCTTTTTTGGTTACAATTGAACCCCAAGCTCAGCAAAATGCATTAGCCAAGATGTAGCTGAGACTTGAATTTGATTCTCTCCATTCCTAGGCTGGCGTTTTCCCTAGTGGAGCCTCCTGCTTCTCCCTGCTGAGTGCCCAGAGCTGCCGACTCTCCATGGGGTGCAGCCAGGTTTCCGGGGTCCTTTGAGCTCATGCCTTGCAGTTTAATCTTGGCTTCGTGCCACTATCCCAGCTCAGATGAGAGGAGTAAGCGAGCGTTGCTGCCTGTTTTCTGCAGCAGACTGACACGCTGGCAGTGATGGGGACCGAGGGAGCTCTGATCCGGCCTGGAGCTCTCTTGCCTTTGTAAGATGCTCTTTGCACCGATCTGGTTAGGCAGAACTTTAAGAGGGCTCCCAAGTAGATGCTGAAGATTAAAACGCTAACTAAAACTCATCCCGATGGCGTTCACTGCAAGTGCTGCCAGAGCAGGCTGAGGTTTCAATCATCTTGCTGCTCCTCTCTGGACTAGACAAGGCTGCTGTGCTGAGCTAGGTAAAGCACCTGAGCCCCGGTTATGGATGGACCTGAAGTGCTGACTTTCCTCCAGATTTGCTCAAGTTCTTTTTTTTATACCTAAAAAAAAGCAGTGACATTTCCGAAAACACCACGTGGCCTCCCAGGAAACCTGAAGACCATCGGTCCCCAAGTCCGGGGGAGGGTGTGAAGCCACATGGGCTGACGCCGAGCAGCGCTCCCAACGCGCTGTCTTTTCTCGGAGGACATGGGAAGGCCCTGGCAGAGCAGGATGAGGTGGGTCAGCAAGGGCTGGCACCCAGTGACATCGCCTAGGTCGGAGCTTCGCGCGCCCTCACGTGAAGCTTCCCAGAGCTCAGGCCCTGCAGGCTAAAAGGGCAGCGAAGGGAGCAGCTCTCCCGGAGGGCTCAGCAGTTTTGGCTGCCCACAACTGAGCCTCGCTCAGTGCCGTGGGAGGCCTGGGGAGGCCACGTGAAAGGCTGCAGGGCCCCCGGGCCACGTGGCACAGGGGAGGCCGCAGGAAATGGCTTGGAGGCAGGAGATGGCCACAAAGCCAGGCGTGTAGCACAAAGAGCCGAGGAAGGGAAACTGCAGAGATGATGGAGTTAGAGGCAGATGGGAGAGACAGGGTGCAGGAGAAAAGAGGCTACTCCTGCCCTTTTGAGAGATGCTCCCTCAAGATTTTGGGTTGTTTTGAGTGGATTGAGCAACAGGCAGTGAAGGAGACTAGTGATGTTGGCCAGGAAAAGCATCTGGGAAGGATTTGACAGATGAGGGAGGGAATGTAAGAGTGGAGAAAGTGAACATATGCTAAGGCAGAGCGTCTGAGGCTAATGCGATGTAGAAGCTAATGAAGCCCTGCATGGAGGGGATTTCTGCTCAGCTCTGCCTTTCACATTGCCCTGCATCTTCCGCAGATCAAAGGGATTTACCTGCCTCTGATATTTGTACGTTAACAGTGAAGAATGTTAGAATTGCTGTCCTGATACTGTTTTATTTCACATCGTGCCACATCGCAGGGATGTGATTGTGTTTTAACAAGTGTGATGTTGTGATGCTCTTTAAAATTGTGCTTTTATTATTAACTGTGAGCAAAACAGCAGTAAATTTGGGAAAAATATAGGTCTGTTAATAAAAACAGGGGGTTGTTTAAAAAGTGTCTATTACTGATCGCATTGTAACTTTATGGGTCAATAAAATTTCTTTGCAATCTGATGCTTACATGTTTATTGGACCCTGCCAGAGTTTCAGTGGAAGCAAGACTGGGCTGTTAATATCTGCACAAATAAATGCTGATACTTATCACTGCTGGGTGCTTTGAGACTTGCATCACGTTGCTCTATACTGTCCTGGTCTGGCTGGACAAACTGCAAGACCGTGGTTTAAATTTATTTGTCACAGGAGACACATAGGGGTTTAGGTCCCGGAAGGCTCATTGCACTCAGAGCTCTCATTGCAGTGTCGGGGTGAGTGATGGCAGGAAGAGGGGCTGGAGCTGTGAAGAGCCGCTTGAGGTTCTGCTTCCTTCTCGCCAGCACCGTGTGTCCTCTCAGGTGGCACCACAACTTTGCTAATATTAAATTCAATATTAGCTTATATTAATGTTAACTAAAATATTAACTTTGCTAATATTTATGAAGGCACATCATGCTCAGATATACTTATTTTCTAGTTTAGGTGTTCCAAACATTACAGGTGAATCTACTATGAGTTTAATTACTCTGATTGCACCTTTAATAGCAACCATGTGTTTCTTCTTATCTTAAATTAGACCACTACAAAGTTGCCTTAGCTTGGTCTTAAGTGTGATAGCTCTGTGCTTGGTTTTAGATGTTTGTAAGTGAGGACTCCTGTTTGTTTCTATGTCCCCTTTAGCACTCAATTTTTTTAATGTAAATGATAAATGCTTTCATGTTGCTTATGCTGTTATGTTTGGGTAGTGTTCCTAGATGTCACGTTCAGAGTATCGTGAGCTGGAATCTCCAACACCTGGTAAGTGTTGGGATGCTGAAGGTATATCTACAAAACCTGAAGTGCTAAGACCAGATTTGTATGTATATAGAGAAATTGAAAATGAAATGGCTTCAAGTTCTCAGCCAGCTCTAGGGGAGAGAAAGTAAGCACTAAGAAGTGCTATGGGGAAAAGGTCAGTCCTTGGAGGGAAAGGAAATGTAAAGATCCTTTTAGAGACACATCTTTACCACAAGCCTGCTGACTATAGAAGAGAATTTTAGTGGAAATAGGGATAAGGTTTTTTTTGTTTTGTTTTTAAGCTATGCTTTGGATGAGTTGGCCTGTAACTGCTTTATCGTGGGTACAAAGCCTGAAGATGAATGTGCAACACTGTGTTACGGGCTTTGGAGATGCCTTACAGGTGCCCATGTTCATGCCTAACTTGTGCTCCCCAGGCACGTTGCTGTTTTCTGCCTCTGGACGTCTTGTCTGTGGTATTTGTTATGGCTTTCAAGGGTCTTGGAGGAGCCTTCCTTTAGGTAGGAGGCCTTGGAGCTTCTCTTCATTGTTGTTTTCGGTTATACACAACGTATAGTGTCTAACGAAGAGTTATCTGACTCCAAAGAGCAGATTGCCTGTGGCCTCCTCCGACCAGTGCTGTGCATGGAGGATGCAGTGCCTCTTCCTGACGCACAGATGTTGTCGATCCTGGATAGACAAGCTGCTCTGCTGCATGAGAAGTGACAATATCAGCGCTGAAACAAAAGACCTAAAAATGCAGAACACCAGTAAGGGTGAAGTGTTGGCAGCTGAGTCTGTATATGTGCATATCATATTTGTGCTCTTCAGTGTGGTGTTTGTAAGACTTAGTCATGAGAAGTATATTGGTTCATTTATTATTTATTAATGCCACATAATTTCCTATAGTCTTTTCCCTTAAATGTCATGTCTGCTTCTAGTTTCAAAGATCTTCATTAAGCATAGCTGCAGTTTCAGTAAAAAGTTTTGGAGATTTCACCATAAATGTGTTGCATTTTTTTTCTCTCTCCCCTCCTGATAATCCTCTTATTTCATTTTAATGTTCTCGTGCAACTTCTGTGTGTTAGCTCAAATATATATATTTTTTTCCCCCCACATACCATTCAAACCTTCCTAGTTCTCCCTTGATAATCGATATTTCTGTTATATTTATAGCCTGTGTATTTCGTTTGTCTCTGTTGCTGGTGAGCTCTTGGGGATTTTAGTGGGAATCTTCCTTGGACTGCAGCTATCAAAACAGCCCACAGTTTCCCATCTGTTAGGGAGCTTTCGTTTGACATGCGGATTGTTGTCAATAGGTTGTGTTCAAGAATTAGGATTTCACATGTCGCCCAAGAGCTTTGTCTGACAGGTCCATTTTCTGTTACGTCTCGTTTAACTTATGCTCTGAGCAGCCTTATAAAAATAAGGCTTTACATTGTGCAATGGAAAGCACGGCATGATGCAGCTGGTGTAACCTCCTCTTTACTCTGCATGTCTCTGGCACTTTACTGGTAGCGGATGGGCTGGTTGTGATTTTGGAGATCTCTGCTGATGGAGAGCTCTCTTTCCCGTGTGACTTGCTAGAGAACTGCTCTGAGCCTAACCTTCTGCCACGAAGCACACGTGTGTCAAAATGGTTTTGACTTATGAGAGATGGCAAGGTCCCTGGAGGTCAGGGAAGTGAGATTTTAAAATGTCTCCATTTAAAATAGGAAGTTTTCCCAGTTTCATCAAGCTCCAGGTCCCCTGAGAAACTGGAGGCAAAGGCTGGAAAAGATGCTCTATATTTGTAGATACCTCTGCCTCATGGAGAGCAAGGAAGCGGTTGGGATGGGTGCTGTTCCTGCTGCCAAAGCCAGGATGAACTGGTAGGGTGAGCTGGAGGGAGGAGGATCAAACAGCAGCGGCAGGACAGCTCATTTAGCTTGGTGTGCGTCTCTCTGTGCAAGCTATCTTTGTACGACTTTTCTCTAGTAATCGATAATGAGATAACTGCAGATCACCTTGTGCTCTACTCATCTCAAGCCGGGATTTGAAGCCAGCTTTTTTAACCGAACCCCCCTTCCAAACTCCCCCCGCACCAGCTAATTCGGGCTGTTCTGTGGGCGCTATTGCCTAAGAACAGGAGAGAAGGCAGCGCTGAGGAATGGGGATCCCTGTGAAAACCCGGTGTTCCTGGCTTTTTAAGACAAGCTATTGCATCTGTGCTCTAGTAGAAGTGGTTTCAGCTGCAAAATCTGTCATGGTTTATATAAGATGAGTTGTCTCTAGACAGCATTACCTGAAATTGTAGGTTTACATGGCAAAAAAAAAAATACACAACGGTTCGTTCTGCTAAATGGAAAGATCCCTTCATGTGTCCCGCTTAACAGGAGATCCCTGCAGTATTTGTTAGGCCTTGATGACTCTCTCCACTGCCACTTTCAATCACCCTAATAAGCGGGTTGCCCTTTCCCTTAAAACTTAGCTCGGGTATATATTGAAAAGTAGAAAAATAGCAATTGTGCAGACTAAAGGAGAGTGAAAACCAGTCAGGAAGGAGCAGGAATGAGGGGCAGCAAAGCTGCTCCCCCAGCAAGGAGAGGGGCAGCCGTCAGACACGGTTCCCAGCTCCGTCCCTGGTGCTGAGCTCGCTCGTGTTGGTGGCAGGAGCTCCTATGGTGAGCGCCATCACCGTGAGCTCCAAGAGTCTTTCAGCTTCGTGCAGCTCTTGAAGTTCAAAGCCTCCCTCATTATGCGTCGCTGAGGTGGGTCTCTAGTCCCGTGAGCCCTGCAGGAACAGCACTGATGTGCTCCCGTAGCTGATAACGGCGCCTGCGGCACTCACAAATAGGACCATTTCCCAATCATGTTTTTAATTGCTTTGCCCTGGATGCAGCTCAGTTTTGGCTCTTATCGTTGTGCTGTGCATTAAGTGTTGGAGATGTGACAACTCCCTGTGGGTCCCATTTGCATTGGTTTCTAGAACGGGGCACAAGGAGCAGGCCTTTCTGCAAGCTGATAGCTCTGAAAATGAAGCAGGCAACCCACTGCCCAAAGGCTGCAGGGCCGTGTTAATTCTGGGCAACCTGAATTAATTAATTTCAGGGGTGAAAGGTGTTGGTGCTGATCTCGCTTGTGCCGAGCAGAGCGTGTCCTGATTGAGCTGCCAACGTGTGGGCTGCTTCTTACTGATCAGATTTTCTTTGAATGCCAGAAACAACTTGAAAACAAGCAGTGTCAGGATGGCACCGAGTGCTCCCAGCTGAGCCTGGGCAAGCTCCGACTGCTGCTTTTGAGGAGCTACGGCCACGGTGAATGTACGCTCTGGAGTATGTTGTTTACTCAACTTTCTGTATTACATGCTAAAAATTCGCTGCTATTATGAAACTCCTGGCAAGCAAGGAGAACTGGAACATCTTGTGGTGATCCCCAATGTTTAAGATAATTGATGGCCCCTCTGGTTAAGTTGAAGGTATTGTGGGAGGCAGAGAACAGCACTGTCTTGTTTATAGAAGCACATGCAGTACCTGGCACTGAAGGTTGCTGACCCAAAGCTTGGGCCTCCAAATACCACTACTGAATGTGTACTAGCACTGAACTAAGAATTGGAACAGGTATTTTCTGATTCTAAACTGAGATCTCAAAAGAAAAAATAACTAAGTTTGCATTCCAGGCTTTGGTTAAAGGATAAAGAAACTGTTTCATGTTGTGCATAAACTTTGTGGATGCACAGAGCAAATGAGAATTAATCTCTTGGTTTAACTTGAGCTGTAAGGGAAATGAAAGAACTGACTTTTGCCCTGAGCTGTTATGTGTAGTAGCTATTACTGGTTACTGACAACATGCTGGAGGTTTCTCTAAGCCTCCTTCTAAAGCAATCCAAGCAATTTCATTATCAGCTTTAAATATTATTGCCTAGAAAACAGAGGCACTTTAATTAGTCTTCTAGATTCTTCAATGGTATATAAAAGTCTAAAGACTGGATTTTATTTCAGGTCAGACTAGAAGCAAACATGAAAATCTGGTAACTTCTGAACCTGAACTTGTGTGCAGTCAATGCCCCTGTTCCCTGTTTAGGGGAAAATGCCATTAGCTGTAGGAGTGATCTTATTATCTAGATAGATAAAAAGAATTAAAACAGGTGGTTGGATCCCTGGTATATGTAGAACTACCAGCACAAGATTTAACATGTTATCCTGGTACTACTAGAAGGAGGTGAGATCTAAACAGTTAAATATTTCCTTCAGCACCTGGACTGCAATACGGGACAGATCCGACCTATTTGCTGTTCATCAGTCTTGTGCTGTCTTGTCCCTGTGCTGTCACATGAAGGCACAGGAGCCGTGTTTTCAAGAACATAGGACTTGCATTTAACATCAGCCTTGTTGAGATACGTGACATATGCTTAAAGTTTTAAGCAGAAAAGTTACTTGGAATATTGTGGTATATGGAACGCTAGACCCCCCTGTGATGGGTGAAAGCGATGCCTTTAGAAGATTTCAGAGTGGCTGTTAGCTTGTTGTGATAGTACGGACTTCAGTTTCCCAGGGAAATGGGACCTGGTAATGCTTTCTCTTGCACTGAACACAATAATACCAGAAAGTATATACATATTTTTAATTTCTTGACTTCTGATGTGTTGAAACATCTCAAAATACCTGAGCTTTTCCATCATTATTGTTAAACTTCAGCCTATGAAAACGTTTCCTATGTGGACAATATAGGTTTGAATGCAACTTGGATACTGAAGCCTTGTAGAGTTTTGGATACTGGATATTGGACTTTGAGCACCAAGCCACTTCTCTAAGCACGTGCCTCTCTAGGTGCTCCTTGCTCACCAGCAGATAGGATGTGTTTGTCTGTCAGCTGTTGGGTTTAGGCTGTCACCACGTTCTCATGCTGGTGGCAGGTTCCTCTCAAAGGGACTGGGCGTTTTCCTGAAGGGAACAGAAGAAGCAGGCAGCATGGCAGGAAGCAAGCAGAAAGCTCAAGATGTACCAGTGTGCTTGGAAGGCTGCCTACTGGCTAACAAATAGCCCATCTAGTCATGGGAGGGAGGGTTTGCTCTTCTCTCCAGCGCATGGAGCATTTACATCTTGTTCGCTCACATTTGAAGAACAAAGTCAGATGGAAACATCTGCAGTTCCTTTCTGACGTGCTTATCTGGGCCTGCCTCTGCTCTCTCCTCTCTAGGAGTGGTTGCACTGCCAGGATTATCTCCCTCTGGCCTGACCTCACACTATATCATGCTGGCAAACAAAACTTATCTGCATTGACTGCTTCTATCATACATCTTCCCTTGCAAGTAGAGAAGGATGTGGCCTGGTACAAGTTGAATGTACTCTCATCCCTAGTGTGTTACAGTATCTGCCTAAAGTACTTAAGAGCAGAGTGGTTTAGTGTTTCGTTTATCACTAATAACACCTGAAGGGCTTGGGGCTATGTTTTGACAATGGAGATGATGTATTGTTGTATACAGGTTATAGAGATTCAGTCTACGGCTGCTAGACAAATGGATATCTGTGCTAAGTTTGATATTTTTGTTATAGGAGAGAAGCATCTACCTCAAAGAAACCTAATCCTTCCAGTATCTGAAAGTCCTCTATACAACTGGCAGTAACTGGTACATCTAGTCAGCAGTCCTGGTGGGCTCCAAGCATGAAAAGGTCATGGAAAGTGCAGGGAAATCTTGCTTATCTGGTCAAGCAGGCACCCAGAACTAGTCCTGCTTTTGCCTGCTCTGCACCTGCAATGTGGGAGCTGAAGAGATCAGACATCAGATGCCCTTCATTGGCATCTAACTTACTGTATTAAAATGTAATGATAAATGTAAAGCTTTCAGCTGTGCTGTTTTTTTCTTTCCCCCAATCCCAACTGCAGTTGAGATTTTTCTCATGCTAAATTGACTTGCATTGATAGTAGACTGGAATTCACCTTACACAAGCTTTAGTTATAGTGGTAAACTATTATTTTAATTGGTCCTGTTGCCAGCACCATGTGCCTGCTGTTCCTTCC